ATTAAAATAGTATATTGCTCCAAACAGGTATGTTTAGCAAAAAGCAAAGAAGATTATCTGAAGTTTGTCAGCAGCTCTGACAAACTTCGCTTTTGAAAGAATGGGATTACGTTTTAATAAAATTATTTATACTTTTGGTATTTGAACTAAGTTGTTCACTTAAAGTTTCTACTCGTTTAGTTGGTGTTTACGTAAAACGCTATTTTGATTATTACGGCAATGAATACTGAAAAGGTTTTCATGAAATCTTTAATAGTTTTCGCATCTATATAAATTAAAAATTAAGACTGTAGCTCAATTGGTGAGAGCAACAGCACGGAACAATATGTGAATGCCGGTTCAATTTCCACGCGAGTCGTAACTTTTTTGAGTTTATCATAGATTTTTAATTTTTTGAATTCTTAATCACTATATTATAATAAACTTTGACAAAAGAGTATTCGAAAATCTACTGATCGGTGACTTATATTCAACAACTAGCGACCCGCTCCGGCTTCACTCGCGTGCAATGCTGATACTAAATACACTGCAGAAGAACTGTGAGCATTGCAAATAAAAACCTTCCTCTTGAATCACTCTGTCTATTTAAAAAACTGCATGACAATATGTTGGGTAGTTTTAAACATTTAAGCGCACATAGTGACAGAAAAAGCGTTATGTTTTATACTATGCACCTAGTGATACGTACAGTAGCCCCCTTACCTAAGTTTATAATGAGTGTGGGAGGCAAACTTTTCTTATAGATTAAACGAACAAGAATCTGATTCATACTTCCAAGAATCGTCTTGTACTAATTCGATTCTGAGAGACAAGTATATTGCGAATCTTATTGCTTCCTTATCGGTTAGCGAGAGCCAATTATTACGAACTCTCGCAGTCTATCCGATATCGATTTTGCAAGTTTTACCCGTTTGAAGTAGCCGCCTAGAAACTAGGAGAGATGTTGGCAGGGTAACCGCATGGTACGATGGCGTTGGCGACCGGGCGGCGACGGGACGCCCATCGAGACGAACCGTGATGTCATCCACTCGTTGACCCTTGAGCTATTTCATCTGTTCCGGATATGTCTGACATTAGCAGCTTTCGGTGACGTCACGAGTCGTGCACAACGGGTTATTAGAAGGGAGATTGAACAGAAAATGAATAGTTTTAACCTTCCCACTTTTGATCCATGACAAAAGGTTACCCTTACTAAAGTATATGGTGTTGTCTAAGGAACACGCGCGTAGTACATATTTAAATAAAATAGTCTTAGCTTAAAAATCGAAAATAAATTGAAAAAATTTTCGACTCGGGCAGGACTTGAACAGGCATCGTCAGCTTTCCGTGCTGTTGCTCTACCAATTGAGTCCTACACCTCATCGTCAAATTTTTTCAACTTATTGATACATGCACCTCTCGCGCAATGTAATTTCAACCTTAACACTTGCGTATTAAGGTTCAATGTCTTATGCTTTGCAGCTTAAGAAATCATTGAAGATGAAATTACAAAGTTATAACGTTTGAAAACATTAATATTTTTCACATGGTATTGCATATGAAGGCACTATATAATTTAAAAATCGAAAACTTATTCGTCTTCACTTATTATTATTCGACTTCGACTATTGTTTGCTAATAAGTTAACAGATTTATTTCTTATATAAAGCTTTAAGGGTTTTGTTTCAAATAGCACATCTTTCAGTTGCAATTAATTTTACAGACTGCTTCATGCCAGATATCGTGTAATCTTGTTCTTGTATTCTATTGTTGACTTTTCTTTGAAGCACTTTCACCGATGTCAAGACCATTTGTGATATACCTGTAGTATTCATATTTAAAACAACTAACCTGACAGCCTAATGTCACTTTTAATTTTAAAACGCGGGTCTAAGTCGATTGATTGACGTTTCACGGCTCGAAATCCAATAATCTGTTTAGTGATTACAGTGCGGGGGCAGAAAAATTAAGTTTCAGCATTCGTTGATTTAAAACCAGTCTATCATTTGGATTATTTCGAGCTGACTGACGTCTTTTTGATTGATGGTAGAGATTACTAAGTAATATAAAAGATATTAACGGCTTCAAGAGCAAAATGTCAGTAACTATAACACACAGTTGAAATTTCATCACGTTAGATACAATTTTGGCTTACATATTAGACTTTAAAATACTTGATGGGACGGGAAATACCCCAGCCTAAAACATCTAAACGAGATTCTGTCGAGCTATTTTGGCTTTCTGAATATTCGGAAATCCACGGGCTGCAACCGAAACGCGATTAAACTTGACGGTTTTTTCATCTATGGAAATGTTGTTTCGTGATCCAGACGGAATTTCGGTGTTCCTACCACCCATTTAATATATCCGGTGGGGATCGAAGTCACGACCCTTTGGTTATTAGCCGTACCTTCCTAGCATTACATTACCGAGTCCGTCGCACTTGTACTCGGTAAATCCAGTCAATATACCTGTCTGATGGCCGTGAACTTGAACGACCGATTACAAATGTCCGAATTACACGTGAATCCATATTTTACGAGTGATGTTGGCTTCAGTTATCTTTCGGGTCGAATGGATACAGAGATGGATTTACCGTGCGCATTGTATGGAAAATTCGGGCCTACGAAGAATTTTCGATGCTCGCTGGTTACACGTTTTCACGGTGTACAGTTTCTTTTTGAATAAAAACCTTATGGAATTTCCTCTTATACAAGATTAAAAGAAATTCCGTTTACTCCAATTGCGCATGGGGCGAACACATGTCTGTGTCCGTTTGACTGGTCTGTGTCCTGCCAGACCGATAATCTATTGTTCTTCGGGATTCGAACGCGTTAAATCATTTAATTACGACGATTTTACTTTATAGGATCTACTCGCGAAATCTAAATAACAACAATATTTAACTGTCATCTCGGCTAGAGCGGAGAGCCTCCACGTTCGTAACAATATTATCGTAATAAAACGTGTAGGTACACTAAATTGTGTAAGGCTTTCACGGCCATCGTTCACCATATCATTGTTTTTTCGGGATGTTAGTTCCTCGATTGCTCGAAGAATTCTTCGATATGTGCTTAATATCTATCTTTAGTAATTACAATGCATTACATGAGTTTTTTTGCGATAAATGTTATCTTTCATAATCAGGTGTTTTTACATATCAACATTTTCCGCGAAAGTGACTCACCGGTGACGTCATAATTCGATTAGACGTTCATCGCTTAAGAATGCGCTGTACTGTTAGAGGGCGACCAATTATAATTAGATTGATATCATCGACCCATTCCATTGTAGTTCAATTGGATTTACGAATGTCCACTCGCCTCCATTGTCAACTTTCCCCCCATCATACATTATTAATATTTTCAGCAGCTTTTCTGATTACTTATCGACGCGGTCATCGAAACTCACAATAACTTAATTGGCTTCGTCGTAATTGTCTTTCTATCATTGTGACACATTGAATTGTAGTTTTCAACTCTTTATCGTAATCTGTTTGTTTGACTTCGATAAAATTACCAAAGTTAAAGGTTCTATCTCCACACATAGTTTGGATAATATCTCCAACAGCAATATGTCAAGAATCTGATATAGATTTTTATCTAATCAGTGATACGAATGGAGCGACGATAAAGGAATCACAATTCACAAAGATGTTCGGAACGGTTTTATGACGAAACATAGGACGACGGAAATCAACACTGTGGACGTTCGTATTACGGTTGCTTGGAGCGACGCCAGCGAGGATTTTAACAAAATTAAACGTCGGTCCGTATCTATAGAATTGCGGTTGAGCCGTTATCGTACTTACCTGAATCCACAAGTCAGCTGTGAACTATCGTCTTCGCTTTGACTGCTATTTAAGAATTCATGCCTGGAACCTCATTTGGCTCTGATGAATGTTTCATGAGTGTTTGCCTTTCAACATAGTCATTTGATCGAATTTGGAAACTACTATGTATTTATCGCTTTGGCTGGGGGAGGAGGGAGTTAAGGTATACGTCTAATTTAGATTAGCTGTCAAGGTATATTCACTTTATTGGTGTATGGGTGGCGGTTTATGATTTTGAATGCAGATATTCCTAGCACCCGTTTAGGCTGTTTAGCGGTAACATCCCCTCGTTAGATGCTCCAACAAACACGAAAAAAATCGAACCCTTTGTTCTTGAGTGGCGTGGTAACAAACAAACCAACCGAAATCAACCTTGTTTTCTAGCCAGTTCCACTGTACCGACGAGCCAGTCAAACTAATGGAAGGGTAGCGATTAAAAATTTCTGTATTACATTTAAGGCATTCGTATATCTCTATTGTTGAGAGACTCGAGATCTCTTTACAGACGCTTTCACGCTCTGCACATAATTGCTGTCCCGGTTCTTTTTCACGACAACGAACACGTTGAACCCAATCCATGCCTTTGTCTTGCCTGGGATCTGACCTTTTCGTTAGCCCTTACTATTTCTTGTGACATCCATCTATCATTTACAGTAATATTTTTTTTCATTTTATTCTTAATATAATCATATATGTAGTCATACCATACTTGTAACAATTGTGAACATTCCTTTCATTGTGTAGTGGAAGCCTCATAACCTCTGAAACGCAAAAACTATAAAAGCAATGAGATTAAAAATGATATTATGAATTAAATATGATTTCTATTCAATACCGTGTAATGTGTAATTACAAATGTTTTGTTATCAAAAACAAATACGTTAAGTACATACGTAGAGTATTAGAATTAGTACAGGCTACGCCAAAAAGTCCCTTTAGATCCTACCAGTTCCAAGTTGTGGATGCAAATTCAAGCTTGTTGCCTGTGTCGTTTTTTTTAAGCTACATAGATTTTTAGTTTATAAAATGCTATCTTATGGAAAATATTGAAGCATTCAAAAGTGTTCAATAGGGGTGATAACAAACGTCGCTTTATATATTATTGAAATTAAATTAGACAAGAAAAGCATAAGTATATCTTAATAATATAGTAAAGGTGATCGTGCACTGAACCGTATATTGTTCACAGGTGGAAGAAATACGAGAGATGATAGATAAGATTCAGGCCAACGTCGAGGAGGTAAAGAAAAAGCACAGCGCCATCCTATCGGCACCCCAGTCAGATGAAAGTAAGTAAAATGTCATCTCCCGCACACGATTAATATAGAATAAGGCATCTGGAAATGTTAAAGCTTTAAAGTCAACATGCAAAAATAAACGATTGGGTGCGTGCCCACTGCGAGCGTCGCGGGGAAAACATCTATCAGCTCAGCGCCGTTAGCCTTTACAAGAGAAAATGCTGCCATCCAATGTCCATCTACAAAACTCCATTGAATATATTTAAACTTCTGTCATCCGCGATTCGGACTATTTTATTTTATTGATGAACCCCATGATCTCTATCATGGGGTTCACTTGATGGTAGGCGATATACCCCGGCCTATAGCATCTACATAAGATGCGCTGTAGGCTTATTTTGGCTTTATTCGGATCCACAGACTGAAACCGAAACGCGATTAAGCTGCTCGGCTTTTTCATGTTCTATATTCCTACCACGCATTTAATATCCAGATTTCCAGACACATTTTATGACAAGCTACGCAGCCAGCCTCCCTCAGTGGAGACCCACGTTTGGACGACGCGGCTAATAATACCCGCGCCCTTTTCACCCACGTGTAGGTAATTTGTGGGCGGGTCTGCTCTGAAAATACGTCGTTTCACGTTGTTTGTAGACGCTGTGGGTGGATATTGGTTCGAGTTTAAGTATCCAGTATCCCACGCGTGGGCTGTACGGAAACGAATCTCTTGGATGATAGGATTTCGATGTTTGAAGTGTCTTAAATATAGAGAGTTGTATAATTTTATCGCCTTTATAAACAACGATACAGGAAGAAATTTTAATCAACGAGAACAAAATTAACAGCTTAATTGCAATTTATTTTATCTTATAAGGGTCGTGGTTAAAATTAATTGTAAATAAGTTTGCGAGATGTTTTTATTCGTTAAAAGTGTTTTGCAAAAGTAGCATTAATATCTACAAAAGGTTTATCTGTTTAGATGTAAAATGTGATAAACATTTATTCGTTCGTAGAAAAACACAAGTAAAAAATATGTATACATATAGTATTATTAAAAAAATGCTAGATGTTTAAATATAATACTTTAACGGATTAAAACGCGATATATATTAGTTAAACTTATTTGAAAATTATTTTTAAATATGGCCTGACGTTTCGTATGCTTTGCAGCAGTCGTGGTCACGGGGTCATATATCGCGTTTTAAACCGTTAAAATGTTTTATTTAAATGTGTACTACTCGCGTAAACTACATACAACATTTGAAATGTTTAGTGAAACTTATTTGATAATTATTTTTATTACGGCCCCACGTTTCTTAAATGTGTACTACTCTTGTTTTTTATTTTTATAATTGAGATCGCAAATTTGTACTCACACTTAAAACATAAAAGAAAAATGATAGTACTAAGAAATTAATAATTGTATGCAAGAAATACCGAAAGTTTCTCAGGAATAATTGTGAATAACTGAAACATTCTTTCAACAAAGAAGAGCCAGTGAAAAGCCATTCCGTCTCGGGAACTTTTTGTAAAATGCCTTAATGCAAAAATTGGGTGGCGCGATTTTCAAATAATATTTAGCTGTTAAATAGTTTTACACTTGCGTATAACTACAACAACTGAGCAATAGTGACATTTGTATTGTATTTGACGCTTTTATAAGCCAATATCCACACTTATTCTGCATACAAAATAAGTCCATTTATTATTAAATAATTATTATGCGTGTACATGTGTATGAGACAATTTGCAGGATTCATTAAACAATTGCGTTGCTCTATGTTATAAAAGATTTATGTCCTAATTCACACAAATACAATACAATTAAATAAAACACTTTAACGGTTTAAAACGCGATATATTAGTTGAACTTATTTCTCACGGGGAGACCCCCCCCGTGACCACGGCTGCTGCAAAGCATCCGAAACGTCGGGCCGAAGTTAAAAATCATTTCCATATAAGTTTAACTAATATATCGCGTTTCAAACCGTTAAAGTGTTTTATTTAAATGTGTAATACTCGCGTAAACTATAGACAGTATTTAAATACAATACAAGTGCACAAACACAACAACGAACCCAACTTGCCTGTAATAAAAGAAAAAATGTTAAAGTTTATAATTAAAAATCAATACCTTTTCCTTTTTATAATGTTCATGATCTCGTGTTAATGATACATACATGCTGACACTCAATCTGTCAACTACGGGACATGAAAAAAACTACAGAAGTATGTTTTTTTTACACCTGTATAAATGAAAGAGTCTGGACTGAATTACTTGATTTAACAAGTATTTTCAGTGCTAATACACTAGGATCTAGGATTTTTTTAATGGAATACCCCAGTCATATACCGTCTAAACGAGATACGTTGTCGCCCTATTTCGGACATCCACAGCCTGAAACCGAAACGTGATTACGCTTCACGGCTTTTTCGTCCGTGGACGCTGGACGGACCATCCGAAATTTGAGTAGTATTTAGAGAATCAACATTTAGTACGTGTTTAAATGAAACGCTTAACGCAAAGTATACCGTTTTCGACGATTTATCTAATATATTACGCGTTTTAAACGTTTAAAGTGGTTTTAATTAAATGAGTCCTCCTCGCAGACACAACGAACAATACTTGTATAGTACGTACAGTAAATTTCCGTCGATTGATGCAGCGATAGGGCGGAACGAATAAAAGTCAATGGTGCGGTGCGGCCTTTCGCAAATCTTTACCATTGTTTCTATTTCTTGTAGTTGGTTGGCCTTCACAAGATACTCTTTGATTTCATTCCGGCGATACGGCTTTTTTGATTAAAACCTCCGTAGCGAGCGGTGCAAGGCAAATCCGCAGTTGCTTTTTGCTGTTACATCTAATAGAATTAGGCAAGTCCAATATTAAGAAAAAATAAAAAAAGTCAAAGTGATGATACTAGACGTTTTTTTTTAAATCGCGTTTCCCCCTATTGGAACATGGGGCGAACACATTTTTGTGTCCGTTTCACTGATCCGTTTTTTAACAGGCAAGATGTTGATCAGACTTCTGCGCCCTGCCCGACCGAAACAATTTTATGTTCCCTGGAATTCGAACCCAGAACCTCTCGCGTTTAATGCAACGTATCGCCTAGATACCTTTAACCATTTGGCTACAGAGGCGGTCAATACTAGACTAATACAAGACTTGGTCAGTTTAAAATATTCATTATGATATATTCGTACCTTATACACAAATTGTATCACTTAATTCTTTAAAGCCCTAGACGGTACAAACACATACACATTTGGTAAATGTTACAAAGTCAGTTGTTGTTCTGCTATCCAGAGGAAAGTATGTCACCGATTTTATCTCACGGGAGCAACTCGCTAACACAACACGTGAAAGTACGATGCCGAAATATAACGGAGGAAAATGTAAATGGATTTTCCTAATTCACCCTCAAGTTTGACTCGTGTGTTCTACAGTTTGTTAATTAGATTAGAAATAGATATACCGACGATGAACTTGTTGTGGCATAAATTTTAAAATGGATTTTAGGTTTTACTGAAAACGTTTATAAAAATTTCGCCCGGGTCGCGGATATGGAAGAGCTGTGAAATTTAATCATGTTTCGACAAAATAGAGCGAAATCGCATCTTGTGTAGATGTTATTATTGGAATAAATCACCTTCCATCAAGTGAACCTCGATCTTGTCGGTTTTCCTAGTTACAAGAATGCTTGCTTTATTGAAACTAGCAATATAATATTATTCATAAAACACAAACTACAAAGGAGAAAATACTAACTCATAAAAAATAAAGGCGGCCTTATCGCTAAGCAGTGATCTCTTCAAGGCAAGCTGAAGTACAGGAAATAGAAATAGAAAAATACATAGGTTGTTTTAATTAAAACAAAAATAGAGCCAAATTTCCTTCAGCAACAACAGACGCTAACGAAACACAAGTAACGAACAAAATCACTCCCCAAATTAGGGTTACGTAAAAAGTAGATGAAATGTTGCGTGTCAGATAAACGCGTAATGCTGCAGCGAGGTAAATAAAATTAATGAGGGTATAACGTACTTTTGCCCTGTCCATGTCGGATTAGAGAGGTTGTGGCTTGTGCGGGAAATGTACTCGCCGACGTCGCGGCCACGCTCGTGCTGACAAATTAATGTAATATTTGTGATGTTTTGCGGCCTCCGAATGGCACGACTGAAGTACCCTCAAAACTTTATCTAAATGTATGTTTTCGCGTTCCCGTTTAAGCCCTTTGTCCCCGTTCCGGTGTGAGTGTGGTGCTAGGAAAATTATGTCTGATAGTACCGATTTCTAAGAAGCCATACCAATCGTAATAATTAACCGATTAAACAAAAAACCGATGTTTTGAGGATGCAACTTTTTAATGGATATCACATTGCTATCTTTATTGTGTATTTGAAATATCGTTTCGTTATAGGCAGACACATTTTGATCTATTGCACTGTTACTACTAGCTGTGCTCGCGACTTCGTCCGCGTGAAATAGTGACTTGGGGTAGAATTTTTTATTATTTGGGCTGTTTATTAATTTATGTAAGGGCGCATTTAACACAGCCAATCTATGATGTAAGTGCTACTTTGCCGCAACACTCTTACCTCCCATCACTCCTACTCTAACTCCCACTCTCATTCCTACACTCTAAATCCCACTCGCACTCCTATTCCCAAAAAGCCAAAGAAGAAGGTTTCATTGTTCTAGTTTCAAAAAACACGAATTTCCATACAAACATTCATCCCCCTTTTTCAACCCCTATCAACCCTTATTTGGCATTAAAAAGTCGTAATAGTATGTCCTTTCTCAGGCTCTAAAATATCTGTGTATCAAATTTCATTTAAATCAGTTCAAAAGTTTCGGAGTTAAAGCCGGACAGACAGACAGACAGAGTTACTTTCGCATTTATATTTTATAATATTAGTATAGATTATTGACCAGAGCGTACTTTAACTATATGTTTTCTCAAGATTCAAACCCAGGCCGTACTTAACGCGATGCTTTTTCCTCGTGTTATAAATAGCAAAAATAATAAAAATAAAATATAAAAAAGAACTTTTAATAGTTTAAAATGCGAAATTTATTAGTTAACGTTTTAAATTTATATTAACTATGCTCTGTGACCACGGCAGCTGTAATGCGTTGTAAACGACGGGCTGTAGTGAAATTAAAAAATTGGTTTACTAGTATATTTCGCAGTCTAAACTGTTAAAAGTGTTTTTATTTAAATGTGTACTACTCGCGTACACTACATAAAATGCTTAAAATATAATATAAAGAAAACTTAGTCTAATTGAGCTTAATAGCAGAGTTAATGCTCTGTAATACAATAAGAAGTCTGTTTAGAATTTAGATACATCGTTCGTCCAACATATAAGAACAAAATGTACTTTACTGCTAATTGTATCGCATTGTCGGGCGGCCCGCGGCAGAGGAACGGCACTTGTTATCGCGCCGATTATATCGCGAACTTCGAGTGGAAATCAGGCTGTGGCCTCCGGTTAATTGACTAACTTTGCTCGGCCCTATACGTGGACAATATAGCCTGCGATCCGCAATAACTGCTCGCATTCACAACTTCCAGCTATTCGTAGAGTAGGTCACGGATATTGTGCGATACAGTAGGAACAATGCGGGTAGTTGCAAAATGTAATAACTATTGCTTCAATTGAGGTATGTTCGACTGCAGGAAGAGTAAAAATTAAATTAATATATAATTATGTACGTTATCTTTCATTAGACGAAAATACTTATATCTTTTAGTTTCATTAAAAAGTACCTACATTTTTAAAAGGCTCAACAAGTATATTAGTACGCATTATTAGGTGCAAAATCATCTTTACTAACAATGCAAAGCTAAAGGTTTGTTTGAACGCGCTTATCTCACGAACTACTGGTTCGAATTAGAAAATTATTATTTTTTAAAGTTATATTTTACAGCTGAGGAAGTTGTTTGCAATAAATTTTGACGTCCAAATACCACGCGAAGGAAGGCGCGGGCACAGCTAATAGTTTTCTATAATGCAGGAAAGTCATACAGCTCTATAAAAAGTCAGGATCGTTATTGATCGCGCGTCACTGCACTAGACAAGCAATTAGATTTCGTTCCCACGCGCCTGTCGGCTAGAGATCCACTCGCGTGGGTATTTTATTATGGGACGTTTATATTCATAACTCCACTCACAGTATGAAATATTGAAATGGTGTATGCCCAATAAGGCTTTCGTTGTCATCGTGAGCTTGTTTGGAATTTTGATGAATTGTAATTAAACGAGAGAAAGTATTTGTCTAAAAATACGTAAATTAGTTCAGTAATTGATAGATTTGTTTTGATATTTTAAGATTGTATGTATTTTTTTCGTTACGTTTGGTATATAAGGCTCGTTTGTATTTTTTTTTGCCATTACTGCAAAAAATAGTGTTTATAAATACATTATCGCCTTCAAATTATACCCTTCATTTCTTAGATGATACTACAAAAGATTCTAGTTTTGTCTCTTACGACGGATTGAAGAATTGCCAGTTGCCAGATAAATCCCCCATTGGCCTCATTCGGGCAATGGAATCTCAAGAGACGCGTACCTTTAATAATTCTGAGATTTCACCTACACAAACTCTCGCACAAACAAGAAAAGGAATTTTGAAGTGTTTTCGTGATTCTATTCAACTAGGTTTTGTTTTATGTACTTTCCTCTATCGATCTTTTTAGGGATCCGTAATGAAACGGTAACAAACGACAATATTACCGACACTACTTAAGTAATTTTCTCTTTATAAAACTACTAGTTTTAAGTCATACGGAACTCTTTTAATTGTAAAACTTTATTTATTCTTTAGGTAAGTGAACACTTCTTTTAGCATAACTCTTCTATACTTCTTAGTACTTATTAATTTAAGCTGTTCGGTTGGCCAAATATTATAAAGGCTCCAGGCTGCCTCTTCAGAACTGCATAGACTATTATATTAATCGAATAGAATCTGATTTATTATTATTGCACGATATTGCAAATTAAAGGATTTGTTATTACGGTTATTACAAAGTCATATATATCTGTGTATTAATAATGATTATTTAGCGGGTGAAGAAACAGAGGGAAATGTGAGAAAAAAATTCGTATTTCAGGAGTTCCATTGCGTGCCCTGTAAAAAAGGATCGAGAAACCAAAAAACTCTGTATGAATCTAATGTGATGATTTAAGAAAATGTCCGCAAAAATAAATAATATGACGCTCAAAATAACTAACGGCCGAAGCCGCGAGCACAACTAGTATAGTATAATACTGAATGTGAAATTAACAAACTTTTAAATAAATTTCAGAGACGAAGCACGAGCTAGAAGATCTCATGGCCGACATCAAGAAAACTGCGAACAAAGTTAGAGGGAAATTAAAACGTGAGCATTACTTACTGTTGCTGTTAAAATCGTTGCGAACTTTTATTGCTTCATTCAATTGGCGGAACTTGGCCGCGGGGAGCCGGGGAAATCACGGGGAATGTTTTCGATTGCGACATTGGAGCGATTTTGCGTTACGGTTGCGTAACGAGCTAACGAGTAACGACCCAATTTTCAATGGCGCAGACACAGTGGATCTTGGGGAAATTAATAATTCCGCCGTTATACTTTGAGAATGTCGCTTTAGAAGTTACAAGCTGTGTTCTAATGAATTCGATAACATTCTTCTGTTTGGAACTCCTAGGTTTTTGTTTGACTCGAGTCGTCCTAACGATGTGCTCTATTGAGGCACAGTATCCAATATATAATAGTTGTTTATAACATAGGTATTTGAAATCTATAATCACTTACCATCAAAACTTTAGTACCAGATGTGTGCACAGCTATGAAAATACAATTAAATAAAACAATTTGACGGTTTAAAACGTGAAATATATTATGTGAACTAGTTTACATATTATTTTATCTACGGGCCGAGGTTTCGGATGCTTTGCAGCATCCGAAGTCAGGAGAGACCGATCCTCCGCGGTTTTAACCGTTAATACCTGACGGTGTATAAAAAAGCATTTCTTAAAAATCGCTTAGAGATTGAAAAAAATGTACGACACGGGCAGGACTTGAACCGGCATCCACAGGGTTCCGTGCTGTTGCTGTAACGTAATCGTCGTAAATTGTCAACCTACTACCAAAACTACGTACACCTCTCCGCAATGTAATTTCAGCTTTAATACTTGCTAATTAGAATTCGAGTCCTACCCGAGTCCTAAAATTTTTCAATAGAATTTTTCATCAGAGCAGATGAACGCGAACAGTATAACTTTAATTTGACCCGCAGACATAGAGCAGAACATCGAACAAGAAGAGCACTCGAACAAATCGTCAGCGGACCTGAGGATAAGAAAGACCCAGCACTCGACGCTGTCGCGCAAGTTCGTCGAGGTGATGACGGAGTACAACCGCACGCAGACGGACTACCGGGACCGCTGCAAAAACCGGATACTGCGGCAGCTCGAGATCACCGGCCGCGCGACCACCGACGACGAGCTGGAGGCCATGCTGGAGCAGGACAACCCGGCGGTGTTCACTCAGGGGGTCTGTAGTTTCGTCTCATTATTGACACCATATGACGTTAGCCAAGTCGCATTTTGTAACAGACAAATAGTTTTTGAGATTATCTCGTCAAAAAATAACGCAATATAAATTCACATTACTTCGTTCGCGTAAAATAGTTGAATTTTTTATTTGCTGATAGTCTATAGACTTTCTTGATAAATACTGTAACCAACACAAAAATATTTTTTTAATACGATTCAGTAGTTCTTGAGATTATTGCGTTCAAACGTACAAACAAACAAACTCTTCATCTTTATATATTGGTATTGACAAAGATATATCTTTAAAGGATTAATAATCAAACAAATTACAAAATTGCTTATGATTTATTAAGCATAAGCATACATTACCTTTTCATTTATTTACGTGATGTGTAAATAATAGACAGTTTTTATTTTGTCACTAAGTAGTCAATAATATTTAAATAAAACACTTTTAACGGTTTCAAACACAAAATATATTTGTATTCGTATTTAAAAAAATATATATCCCGATATATATTTTTTTATTTACCCGACGTTTTGGACGCTTTTCAGTAGCGGCTGATGCAAAGAATTTGTAAATTAAATATTTCGCGTGTTAAACCGTCAAAAGTGTTTTATTCAATTGTGTACTACCTGGGTCTGTAGTTAAGTCTATAATAATAAAGCTTAATTGTAACTTTTGTCATAAATTCATAAAATTTCAGTAAGTCCTATAATAATAGATCTTTAATTTTAATACTTGATTATCTGAAACCTATGAAGGGCATTTGAGTTAGTCTGTGTATTGATTCCTTGATCATTCATTCAATGACATCTGCAGATGTGCGGGCTTCAATAGACTATGGGAAGCATATTATTATATTTCCATAAAAGCGATAATACAATTAACCATATATCAATGAATAATTATTAAGAAGGAAATTCCAACGCAGTTAACATTTATGAGAATGTTTTATTTCCAATGAACTTCATTAATTCAGGGTATCTGTACTGCAGAAATAGTGAATCATATAGAAAAAAAGAAAATGTAAACATTATGATTAGATATGATATTTATACATTATACTCACATAAATTCATTACAAACATGTTGGACTCAGTGTGGATCAAACTCGTGATCGGTTGACTACGAGCCATGCATTGCTACCACTTCGTTAACCTATTTTTTTTTTTCCGAACATCTAATGCCGAAATAGAACGACACCGCGTCTTGTCAAGATATATCTCGGGTGTACCACCTTGTTTGTCCTTCTCTGTCTTCTAAAATACATACAGTTTATCTCAATATACAATAAACAAGGGTTCGAGGAACATTAGGGGGTTTATAGGTGAAGTTTCTCGAAATTTATTTTGTGTCAGCTCATTGACACTGAGTCGTGCATCTCTTTCTCGCCTTCGGGCTTTTGACCACTATAAAGTCGTTATGCGTAACGCGTCATGTTTTACGTAACGTTGCATCTGATTATCCCATATTCGTTGTACTAACAGTAGTTGGAAGCGTGCGCTTAACGACCCGCACTCGGCACTGTTTATATTAGACCCCATTTACACAAGCGTCGTTTAAACGTCGACGGGACGCCAGCGTAACGAATTAACAAAACAATCGTTGCCAAAGTGATCAAATTCTTAGTATTTGTGTAATAGAAAGTTGGAAAGATATGTATAACTGGTTCATTGATCGGTTCTTTTACAAGCAAGTAGTTGATCAGACTTCTGTCCCTACCTAAGCGAAACAATCTCTTGTTTCGCCAAAAATCGAATCTAGGACATACAAGCTACAGATACGGTTTGGCATTCGTAAATGATCTTAATTTTTTCATTTAGAATCCACGATACAATAATACGTCATAATCGTTTACCTGTACGAAACAATTTCCACAGATTTCCTTTAAACAACATTGACGCTTATAAAACGCTAGTGTATAAGGATCTTTAACTCGTGCAATCACTGGGCCACTGTGACTTAATGTAAACATGCGACGTGAAAATCGATGGATCAATTCATACGAGTGGCGGGCCCTGGGGCATTTAATTATTGTGCTGTTTAAGTAGGAAATGAGATAATTTTGTATTCGTTGCGATTTTACAGCGAATCATATTTAAAATACAATGGTGATTTACTTAGTCAACTTCAATTAGTCAATCGCATTTTTTGTATTGGCCAGCAGCAGAATTGATTAATAAAAAATCAAAATAAAAAAAAAAAAATAATAATTTATTTTTAATGATACAGGAGCACAGATAAGCAGTTCACTTGATGGTAGAGGAAATGCCTCATATGACAACTAAAAAAATTGCTCTGTAGACTTATTTTGACTTTGGGTATTCGGAAATCCTTAGATTGAAAACGAAACGCGATTAAACCTCTTCTATCTGTGGACGATGATTCATTTCGATATACCTTCCATTTACATTACATTTAATTTCCACATTTCCAGGCGAAGTTAAAAATGTGAAAAAAAAAAAGAATTGATAAGAAATGACGAACGATTCGTTTATTATTAATAGCGTATATGTGGAGTGATTTGCTTAAATTAATAAGTTTTATTATCCATACGTTTTTTTTTTGTAGAAGATGAGTTACACACGCGTAATTACACTCCACTACACACACTCTTACTTTTGTTGTTACGTGATAATTGTGGAATTTAATTTGTAACAAATATGGGTTAAGATTATATTTGAGAATTTAAAACTCGACGGGTTACAGAGTGCATGCGAAATAACTTATCACACACATTACGAGGCCTAACAGCATAACGAGTTGTTGAAATGAAATTTTAATTTGATACTTGTAACTAACGATTTCACCTCGGGAAATGAGTCAAGTTTTGCGGTGAATGGGTTATATACTTTTAAAGTTGTTGGAGACTTTTTAATGGAACTGAGTAATGGTGGAATTTATGATGAAAGAAGTGAAATCTATACTAATATTATAAATGCGAAAGTAATTTTGTCTGTCTGTCTCTCTGTCCGAAACTACTGAACTGATTTAAAATGAAATTTGGTACACAGATATTTTAGAGCCTGAAAAAGGACATAGGCTTTTTTTTATGTCAAATAAGGATTGATAGGGGTTTAAAAGGGAATAAACGTTTGTATGGAAATTGTTTTTCGTGTTTTTGGAGCTAGGACAATGAAACTTTCTTCTTTGGCTTTTTGGGAATAGGAGTGGGAGTGAGAGTGGCAGTAAGTGTAGGAATGAGAGTGGGAATTAGAGAAGTGATGTGAGGGTTGAGTGTTGCGGCAAAGTAGCTCTCACAACATAGATTGGCTGCCTTAAATACGCCCTTACATAAATTAGTAAACAGCCTAAATAATGAAAAATTCTACCCCAAGTCACTTTTCCACGCGGACGAAGTCGCGGGCACAGCTAGTCTTTAATATTTTGCACATGTTATTCCACATTATGATTTCAAACACATTATGACATCACAGACGAGACGTAAGTTAGGTAGACCAGAATCCACAGCGTTCGGGGCTGTTACTGTAATCAATTGAGTTATCAATCTAAAGTCGATTTTTATTTTATATAAAAAAAGAATAAATATTTAACAACAGGGCATGGGTATACAAATAATAAAATGTATTTATAGTAGGAAGGATTTAATGCTGTATGTACCAGTTATTTAGTTTCGATTATGGCTTTTGTTAATGTAATGTTTTTACTATATATATAAATACAAAACTAGAACACTTCTCTTCCCGAAACTAATTAAACCAAAATTATATTGAATATATACATATCCATTAGAGGTTTTTTTCTTTTGCAAAGTAACCAAACGTCGGGTCGTTGTTTAAAGTCAACTAATGTTAACTAAAGTTTTCGCATTTTATACTCTTCCAAGTGTTTATTTAAATGTGTATATGCAGAAAGTTGGAAAACTTTGACATACTGTGACGCTTGTCTAAAACATTTTTTCTCATAGTATTCTTTATTACTACGAAGTCTAAAATACAATCAAATGAATCTCTACTGCATAAAGTGTCTTAACTTTTTTTAGTGTGTTTCCGTCTGTGCTATTTCGAACGGAAACGACGAATTCGTTGCATAAGGGAAAAGATATGATCTACGTTTTGCAAACGGTGTTATGCCCTACCAGTTGCGATTATAAAACAATCGTGTGTATTAATAGACGGATAAACCAATAATCATTGTATGGCTGCCATCACGTACGTACATTTCGGGTTACTTAGAACAGTGGTCGCAATGTACGGCTAATGGTCAACGAATCGTGGTTTCCTATTCCACCCCTCCAAAAATCAATTTAGATATATTTGTGTGTCCGTCCATAGGTGGAAAGCCTTTAAGTAGTGTGCGTTTTGATTAGTCTGTAGATATCAATATGTGCAAAGCTAAAATAGGTCAGTGGGTACCTATTTCAACCGGACCTCATGCTTGTTTGGCTCTGAAATCGTTTTTTTTTTTGCATCCTATACTTTCCAAGTACGGTTCAAATTCTATTGACGTAATTACCATCTTTTGATACAAGAAAAAATTAAAACATATTTACTGTATTAGTAAAAACATATTAGTCCTATTTCTCTCTATCTGTTACTAACGTGTCAATACCTATATTACACATTCTTTAAAGAGATAAATAATTCATTTTTTACATGATCTCGCCGGCTTCCTTAAAAGGCAGTGCGCACGTCGGCGGCTCGGGATTGTCGTAATCTTACGTAATCGCCGCCATTAGAATTAGCGGCGTAATGGCATTATTAATCGTTAATAATTAACGGTCCTAGATCGGCGCAATTATTACCACAAATTCAACGTCGATTAGGATAATTCGTTGTTCTTGCGCATCACAGAATTATCTGTTATGAGGCTGCTTAGAACCATCGTGAAATAATTCTTGGTTGAATATTTTAATGGTATTTTGCAGATGAAAAAGCCGTGAAGTTTAATCGCGATTTGGTTTGAGTCTGGATTTCCGAATATCCAAAATGGGTCGACGGCGCATCTTGTTTAGATGCTATAAAAAAAACTTAAAAAGACTGATTATTAGTATAGAAGCTCGTACACACTTTTTAATCATTAAACACTGAATGACTATTCTTTTCACACGCCTCGATCCACTAACAAGATCTTAAAGCATTGATACTCAGGTGGGTCAAGGCCGTAAACCAGGGTCGGAATCCCCAGACAGACACAGAAATGTGCTAGGGCGAACGCAATTCTGTGTCCGTTTTACGTAGGGATGAGTAGTTGATCAAGACTTCTCTCGGCCTTCTACTTTTTATACTGCACAGCCGAAACCTTTTATTGTGGTGGTATCGTACCTACTGTCGAATAATTTTATCTGGGATTTAAACCCGTGACCTCTCGTGCGTAAAAATGCTAACCAAGGCCTTAGCTATTGTATTACGAACGAGATCTAAGTAAGAAAGCAAGTTTAGTGATGCCTAAATGAATAACTAGCAAAATTAAAAAAAAAAATAGCATCAGTGGTCACAATTGAGTTATGCTGGATTCCTTACAACGATATGCTAGACAAAGATTTATATTTATATTATGATAGAACTTATAAATAAATAATTCACTAAACATAATAAATAAATTGGCTTCCCGTACAAGGCACTACACAAGACCAGCATACCACCACTACACTGCAGCTTTATGATTGTTCCAATCACCTGATTCCAGATTATAATGGAGACTCAGCAAGCCAAGCAGACGCTGGCGGACATAGAGGCCCGACACGCCGACATCATCAAGCTGGAGACTTCCATCCGTGAGCTGCACGACATGTTCATGGATATGGCCATGCTGGTCGAGAGTCAGGTCATACGAACATCTTTTTTATTATTGCTGGGTGTCTTAGATTGGAAAGAGCTTTGAAAAAAGTTTGAATGTAAAAATAAGCATTAAATTGAAACCTTTTTGGTAAAAATTATCAGGTTATCAAAACCAGATTATGTGTATTCAAATTTGTATCAGTGATAAACAAAGGATTCGAACCGTCGTCGTTCGTTTTTTAACTATGATTGATCTTAAATGTATTTCTAATACAATATTTCAAAATACCGTTTGACGTTAAAATTTCTTAGTAGATAGTAGCGGTTTATGTAAGATCTCGCTCCTAACCTTGTTTCAATAATGGTCCAACTTTGTCAAGCTTAGAAAAGTTATCGAGACTCTCCAGATTATATAACGTTCACAGACATGAGACTTCTAGATTGCACAACTTCAGATATAAATAGAGTAAAAATGTAACTATCTACATTTTATTCTATAACTTTTTTTGACAAAGGTTTAAACGCCCTTTTCAGTTTTGCTTTGACACAAGACTTAGGTTCGGTTTTTACTAAAATAAAGCCTTAAAGAAATCTTCACTTTTAATGACTAAAGATGGCAACGGAAGTAAATCCAGTATTTGCAATTGATATACATGGTGTTGTCAGACTTATAACACTTATTTTAACTACGCAATGCAAAAAAAAAGAATTGCCAAAATAAATAATAAATTTCGATCAGCCTACTACTACTTGCCGATTTTGATGTAATTTTACTCTATTGAACTTATTTGATAAGTCGTGTGATTAGCCAAATGACAAATGGCTTCTTGGAACTAGTTTAAGTGAAATATTTAACACGAGCTGATGGATACAGGGTGAGATGATCGACCGCATTGAGTATCATGTTGAGCACGCTGTGGACTATGTCCAAACTGCCACTCAGGATACAAAGAAGGCCCTAAAATATCAGAGCAAAGCCCGACGGGTGAGTCCGCCTCTACACAATGTCCATACGTTCGTTGCTAATGCGATTTTGTTTTGTTCTCCCCCTTCCGCTCCCCGCCCCGAACCGCGCTCCGCATCCTTCGTCCTACCCACTTTATTTTTGTGAACGGCTCATATTACCTCTGTCGACGAATTGGTGATTGGTTCACACCGTGTTCTGTTCTGTTCTGTTCTATTTATGCATTCACAAACCCGCTTTGACTGTTGTACCTATATTATACGGACTAACTCGATGGAAGTGGGCTTCTTACTAATCTAATTATGTGACTTGTGTGCCACTGATGTGTATTTCATTTTGGTGTGTGCGTTATTTGCCTTATGTATACGAATATTTGTTATATGACTAACGCTTGTCTTTTTTAACACGTAGTGAAGAAACTAACGTTGTAAATTAAGATATAAATCCGTTAACTCGTTCTTCTGTGTCGGACTATAATTTCACCTCTAAAACTGTCTTAACTCTGTGGACGTTTTCGTTCAGAATATATTCCGTCGGCTCCTGTAACGCTTGTGGGGTGATAATTTTCGTATGAACCAATCCGTTCCGAATTGCTCGTACGTGCGTCCCGTATCCTCCCAGCGCCTTACCTTAGCGCAAGCAGGGCGAATTGGTCGATCGCATCGAGCACCACGTGACCGAAGCCGCCAGCTACGTGGAGACCGGCGGTGGGCAGCTCGACCAAGCTTACAAGTGGGCGACCAAGGCGCGGAAGGTAATCCCGGGTCTAACTAGAGGAGATGACTAACACGGAGATAACCCTAACAAATGTGTCGCCGGGGCTGGAGAGTCTACGCATTTTATGAGACTATGGAATAATTCTACCCCCTTTTTTATTTGAGCTTCGTTCCTCCTTGCATGGAGTAGGTCCATTAAGGTTAACGATGCATGATTGAAAGTACCATATTACTATACATCAAATAGGATAGGCATGTAAAATAAATATTTAAATAATTCGAGTTCTAACGGTTTAAAACTCTTTGCAGTGGTCGTGTTACCGCAAAAAGTAAACATGGAGGGGTCTTTATCATGTCAAAGCCGTTTTAAACCGTTAAAAGCGTTTTATTTAAATGTATACTACCCCTGTAAACTACAAGTATAATAACTGAAAAATCTAATAAAACTATGTTGTCGCTAATGCATTACCAATTAATCTGAATTTTAGGACATATCTGGTCATTGTTCCAATCTGAATTAACTTAAAAGTTATGTCCTATATAATGTTCAGATTGGTTTATTGCTAATATATGGGCTGGTGGATTGCAATTTGTGCGCTTATTTATGTGGCTTAAGCATGCATGCTGTTTAGCATCGTCCGCATATGCTAGATTATAATCATGTTATACAGATAATAAATCCCCAAAAGCATTTGAAAGTAATATTTATTTTTTTGTTTATCACAATATAAAAAGTGTTCAATTACCTTATTTATGCCTTGTCGAAGTTCTGAAAATTCATAGCGAGCTGGTATGTTGTATACTTTTATTGAGTGAAAACAAGTTGTGAAGGTCACAAGGTTACGAAAAGAAGTATTTCGCAACGCTAATAATATTGCTCAGTGGTCAATAGAGGTCATAAACTTTTCATTTCGTACAATGGCCTACAAAAATGCAGTTTTCTTTAAGAAACTCGAAGAAAAGCGCTCACTTAGAATACAGGATAGTTTCTCCATAAATTACCTTCGTGATAATATTTTCATTAGAAACTGAATTTAGTGCCCTTCTGACCTTCATAACTCTTGCCGATACAATTATTTACATCCTTATAACAATACCATAAAAGATGTATACAATAATCCATCTCAACATAACATTTTCAACAAAACTTGGATTCAAAACGTCTAAATTATACCGAGCTATTGAAAATGTATCTACTTATTTAAAGCATTAACTGTTTAAAATCATTTTCTTACTAATGGGTAAAATCAAGTAATATTTCCTAATTAACAGATTATTTACATTTAAATTAAACACTTTAACGGTTTAAGACGCGATATATTAGTTAATAATAATAAAGTTAGTTAATAACTAGTATATCGCGTTTTAAACCGTTAAAGTGATTTATTTAAATGTGTACTACTCGCGTAAACTATAGATAGTGATAGTATTTAGTTGTTGTGCGCCCTATTCTTGAACCGACTGCGTCGCGTTTAGCAGTCCCAATCTTGGTAAAACAAATTGTTTTGGTCGGGCACAAGTGACACAACAGTCTGATCATAGCTTGTAAATAAAATCAATTAGCGAAACATGTTCGCATCAATTTTGACAAGGCATAAAGATAAGACTAGGTGGCACAGTACCTACATTAGAATTATGAATTGAGTGCATTTTAATTTATTCCCCTTTCGTTTCTCCTTTGTTATTGCAGAAAAAAATCTTCCTCATAATATGCCTGTCGATTACGCTGGTTATACTAATAATTGTGCTAGCCATCGTCCTGAAATAAGTGGAACGGAGTTGCTCTGGAGTCGTACGGAAGTTGTTGGATACCCTTAGTGCGTACGTCCTCACCGTAGCGATGCTAAAGTAGAATCTAAACATTACGGTGTTTTGCGATTCAGTTACGATCTAAAAAGGTCAATTAAACGCCATCAAATCGCCTGGAAGCACCAGTCAAATCAACGCATCAAATAAAACACTTTTGACGGTATAAAACGCGACTTTAATTGTGACTCAAGCTACAATACAAGTCGGGCTGTTTCGGATGCTTTGCCAGCTGTAGTCGCAAGGGACGCGTTTCGAACCGTTAAGTGTTTTATTTATATGTGTATGCTAGAGACAATCCACAATTACAGTTTATTCAATATTGTTTTTTTTAAATGCAATACTGCCGTCATACGGAAATAAGATGTTGTAGCATATGTTTTGGGCTGAATTCAATTATAATCTGTGGCCGCCTTTCAAGAACACATTATTGTTTGTTTGTTTTTTTAACAATAATGAACAAAAATACAATTAATACTAACTTATTCTTCTTTTTTCTGTTGCCCCCTTTTTCCTTTTGACGGCAGGAGATATGAATTTGTTTCTACATTGCGAAGGGAGACGAGACAATATGTGTAAAGTGCAATAATTCGATTGTGCTTGTAGATAGTGATAAGTACTAAATGTATATAATGCTAATCGTTAATATTTTTTGTAAATATCGTCTCGTGTTTGATGTAAAGAAACAGCTAGCTACTATTTTTGTTAATTCTGTCACATAGAGCAATGATAGTAAATTTTGAGGTTATATGGAACCGTTGTTGCGTTTTGTTGTGGCCATAACTTATGTTGGTATATTTTTATAATGAAGGAGAAATAATGTTTTGTCTCCCTCTTTCCTATAAGAAAAGACAAAGACAACAAAATGGTTAATTCTTTTGTTCAAGAGAAATGTTTACGTTTTGTTAACTCGTTATTTGAAACTCAATGTATTAGAGTTCCTTTTTTCATTCTCTTGCTTATTTATCATGAGTCAACTGTAGCACAGTTTTTCTGGCCACCAGTCTACATGAACTGCTGAACCCAGTTTCTCCCGATGAAGATGTAAGATGATCATAGTTCCAAGTTGTTACTATTTACCTGATGTTTATAACGCGAATAAACCTTAGATCACAACCAGTATTTTGTATTATAAGGTACATTACATAATTGTAAGTTTAAGCTAAGCACAAGTTATGCATTTTTTATTTGTGTTTGAATGATATGTATCACAAGTTGTGTTGTACGAGATCTGTAAGTACTATCTTAGTATTCTTAAACACATTGGAAGTTATAGTACTTATTAAGCTACTTGGCGGGGAGGTGGTTGTCAGGTATAATGGGCTATTTACCTGATTTTTAAAATGTACTTTATATTATTTGGTAGATGTTAAGGATCCCCAGAGAAGTAGTATTTTTAAATTCTAATACATATTTTCTGAAATATTTAAATTAAAAATTCAACATTTAAACGCTAATTTTGCGAAATAACGCTGCACTACGGTTAGTGACGTCACGACCTTATATCGGCGTTTAAAAAAAAAAATTAAATCAATTTTTATTTTTAACATATAGGAAGGTTTTACTATGTTTAAACTTATAATTAATACAGATAACAGTAATTGGTGCAATATTTTTCGCGTTGTCAAATAGCCCACTGAGAAATGTTTGTCAACGTTTCGCCATCTTTGTGTGGTGGTCAGCGAGGACCGACGGCGTTCGAACATCTCCAACTCAAGTAGCTTTACCTTCAAAGCCTTATTTATAATTTAATTGAACCGGAATGTTGTATGCGTTTGCTGTTTTTCCTAATACTATTGTTACATCCTGTATACAGGATGAGTCAAATGGTATTTACTATAAAGGGATGTTTTTTATCACCCTATATTAAACTTTGCTTAATATACTGCATTTAATACTAATTATAAATAAATAATTCTAGTAACTTCCTCTTAAATATCGCAGGTCGCGTGGTACCGGGTTCAAATCCGGATTGGGCGTAGTATTAGGATTTGTTTTGAAGGAAATTTCTTAAAGTATGCCTCAAAGAACACTTATCATTAATAAGTAAGTGGCGGGCATGAAGCACTGCTCGCACCAGAGCGGCATGGTGGGTCTTGAATGGGTGGAAACAATAATTGTATTAATGCAATCAAAATGTACTCCGATGTATATTTTGTAGTTACGAAGCGCACATTACGTTATATCTTAATATTATCGCTAGTTACGAGCAAATCTGTGATTTTACGTTGTTGATTGTGCTAATGTAAATGTGTTTGCATCATTCTATCGAGTTTAACGCTCGTTTGCAAGACTAATAAACAATAGTTTATGCCACTTTACAGCTTCCAATACCTATATATACATACATTTTACATTATTTTCGAATTAAACTCGGTTTTCATTAAACCAATTTTAACAGTTTAAAAAGCGAAATATATTGGTTAACTTAAATTAAAAATAAGTTAACTAGAATATTTCGTGTTTTAAACCGTTAAAAGTGTATTTAAACTACTAACGTAAACTACAGACAACACTTTGGTCGTTATATTGGTTTAATTATATAATTGACTAGATTTTAAAGTGGCATGAAAATTATTATTATAGTTCTTGCAAGCGATATAAGGCTGTTTGCATACGGAACGTCTTTCAACCGTTTTGCGAAGGTCTTAAAAAAATGACTGTGACATCAATAATTCGATAATGCCATGATGAATGATTATTATTATATTCTTAATGTTAAAACTATGTTAATTTGAAGTCTTTAATACGAAATGAAACTGGTTTAAACGAATTGAAACCTGATTTTTACTAGTACGAAGTTACTACGACTTATTTACAAATCGAGTTTCAACTGGTTGAAGCCAGTTCTAATCGAATGTGTACCTTCCTTACAGTCGAACAAGACATTACAATATACGGATGCCTACAGAACTATAGTTCGCAATGTAAATATGTTGATAATTCTGAGAATTACATTTATTTATTTTATGTTTTTATTTTATTTTATTTACCTCGCGTGGCAAATAACGCACCCACCGCCCCACGGGTTAGTGCTAGTCGGTTAGGGCAGAAATAAAGAGTACTGTTGCATGGTCTACAACAGAAGAAGATCATGATCCTTGTGTGTCTGCTGATACTCGGCCTAGTGGTCGTGGGCTACGTGTCGTCTTACTTCATGTGAGGGCCGACCTGCGAAGTGCTCAAGGTAACACTGATTTCGCGGCGGGTGACAAGGGCGCGGTGGCCTATGGACGGTTCCTCGACGATTGTGTGAAAGGTGGCTCGCTGTTGGAAAATGATTTTTATTCACCTATACATACGGACGGTTTTTAATTGGTGTTTTGATGATTATCTAAGCATTAGAAGCATTGAGGTTGTATATTGCACGCTAATAATCCATTAAGAATATTTTCTAAGTATTATATTAGATTTTTACGCATTGTACAAAAGGTAAGATTTGATATATTATAATATTCCATAACAGCGAGCTTCCAGATCACACGGTCGTACAAACTACTGACGCCCCTTGCGCACGCGCCGGTCTAAACTAGCGTACTAATGTGTGTTGTATTTGTCATTGTGCAGAAGAAGATTATGATTATGCTGTGCCTTCTCGTGCTCTGCCTGATCGCGACCGCCTACGTGTATAGCACATTCTTCTGAACAGGCTTTGGGGGCAGGTTTGACCAGTACATCTCTGGGCTGATATAGAGAGCATTTAGTTAGACTTCGAATCATTGAGTAGACGTCATCCGATTGATCGGCCATTTTGATCGGTGTTCGAAATATGAAATGTCTCCGAGGCGAAATTTGCATGCCGCAGTCATGTTGTTCCATATTATACGTAGATAGTAAAGTCAAAATTGCATAATCGAGATTATTCATATATAACCTCTTACCACTAAAGATCTTAAATAAGCTGTACAGTATTACCAGTAAAAAATATCATTGTTCTGTTTGTAGTAAGATAGTAATGTTGGGGGACATTCTAGTGCTGATTCTAAGAAATTGGATACAAAAGAGGCCCAGCCTAATCATGTGATTGTTATTTTGTGTGATCCTAGCAACCCTACAAATTTACCCGCCTTAGAAGTATTTCAGAATGTTTCCTTCCCCGATACGTGAAAACATACATTTTCATATACTATATATATAGTCTTATATTTTTCTTTCACACTATAGTGCATGTAACACTATTAACTTACCGTCCTTTATTTAAAATGCGGCATTTGTAGTCTCTTTTTATATAACTTTACATCAGTTTCAATATTTACCGAAGTCGTGATATGTATAGTTTTTGGAAATCTAATATTTTTTATAAGCTTTTGTGAATATCAAACGTAGTAATAAATTATATTCCCGTGTTTTGCGCAGTGAAAATCGAATGGCCAATCGTTTATTTATTATTGATAGATAATGTGATACTTAAAAAAAAGTAATAAGTTATAATCATATTTCAAGCAAGCTAGTCAATAAACTAAGCATCAGTAAAATAAATGGTTGGACTTTGCTCTATAGATGTTTTCTTTAAACATTTACCTTATTTTCCCTACAAAAACCTAATAAATATTGTATATTAAAATGTACTTAAATCTCTAATATAGTTCTAGGCTTATAGCACTGTCCTCTGTTGTCAAACTAAAAGTTGACGAACTAAAAGTGTTACCATCTTAACCAACTTAATATATCTTTCAGGACCGTCAAATCAAGATTCTTGTACCTGGTGCCTGCAAACCAAGCATACATCTATCTTCAGAGCTCGTTTACTCAATGTTATTCAACTCGTGTTACCTACTTCTTAACTATAAGGTTTCAATTACATTACCTTTCTCACGGGAATGTTATAGCCCCTCTAGTTGTAAAATCGATCGATAACCACGTCATGGCATTAATCAGCGTTACCAGACTAAAATGTGTTGCATTTAAGAGTTTAGAGTTATTGCGAATCGAGCGATAGTTACTACGTAGTTGTGCGGTCTCCTAGGCCGCGGGCAACGTCACTCGTAACGTAACGTACTCTGCGTCATGGTTACTTAGAGGTCTCCTCACAAGAAACGTGTGAGAGACAACACGATCATAGTAACCGACAACGTCCGATGTTGTACGCGACAGCGATATAGGAGACCAACGCCTTACAGTTTAGTTAAAGCTATACTTTCTCCAGGCCACGACACGCGTCGTGGTCTTCTATCTCAAATGTGTTCTGTATTAAATCATGTGATAGGTCTACGCAAAGCTTCGTCGACGGAAGTCGGTGTTATCGACATAATATCATACATGTGATACATACATTTAACTTCAATGGATTTCTAAGATAGATCTGTTTTTGAGAATATAGTAGTGACTTAGTTGTGCGGTTACCGAGTAAGGTAGGGGATTTTGCAGTTATGAGTGTGAACCTTCGCTACGCTTACTGTTATATAATAAAACGCGATTAATAAGGAGCTTATCGTAATAGCTTTCGAATTCAATATAAGGCTCTCCATACACCAGCGGCAAAAACGTTAAAGCCTCACCTGTTCAATTATAGTCGACTATGTAAATTGCATTGAAAGCTTGCGTGACTTTTTTACTCAGATGTATTACCTTTATAGCTATCTAGAGATAATTCCGTCGATATTTTCTTTAATGAATTATCATTGACAATATTCTCGTCTCATCGTGTGAGTAAAAAAGCCCCTAGACGGCATACGCCGTAAGACCCATATTCATGACTGCATCAGCCTGATTAGTTCCGCATCGTATGTATATAACGTGTGTGCTCCTCAAATCGGGGGCCGCGGGCGGTGGTGTTGAGAACAGTACAAATTATGTAGCTAAAATGCCATACGTGTTGAACGCTGTGCGATAGAGACGTTAAGACGCGTTTAGGTAGTTTTTCATCAATTAGCTAATACATTTTTCGTACTATTTAATAGGAGTTGTGGGTATGTTCGTATAAATTGACTTTCCACTCGGACTCTTTCGCACAGCCGTCAGCTGGCCGTAGTCGAAGGCGCTCGCACCGACCCGCGCGCGCCAAACGCCGCGTCGCCTCCGCACGCGTATCGTCGCCCTAGCAATAATGTTCGATACAATTTGTAAAATTGTTTTAAAACTTTCGAATGTGTGATAGTAGATGCAGTGGTTGTTTAGTTTACATTTAATGGTAAATTAATGATTGTTATCGCGAGTATGACGAACGGCGACCGCCCGTCGCCGCTTCGCTTCGGCTACAGTCGAACGGGCAGCTCCGTCGTAGCGCGGTTTCAGTTCTGTAACGTTAAGGCGCCCTTCGTTGTACAGTAATACATAATGTAGCGGTTATAGCTAGGGTAATTTTTTAATAAATTATTATTATCAACTCATTACAAAGTCTTCAGCAATACGATGTACGTGTATTTATATCGAGCGGTACTTACGTTTATATTGTAATATTACACGTAGCGGTAAAACTCGAGAGCGAAACACCAAGGTAATAATTGGATTAGTATTTTCTTAATAACGATTACGATTAGTCGTGCGTTTCTGCGACCGCGCGGAAGTAAACGGCACTAAACGATCGCTTCGGACGGTCGCCTCCGGCCCGTCGGACCGAGCGTGCACTTGTAAAGGAAGCAATGTTAATTTTAACATTATAGCGTAATTAGATTTTTATTAAGCGTAGGATTCAATATAGTTGCCTTTGGGAGCGTAGGGAAGATTAAGTAATAACCTTTTTCTCTGTAGATTCGTTACGTCTATACTTTTCACTTGGCAGTCAATTGTCGCTTGCGCGCCGCCGGCCGCGCCAACACTAGCTAGACGCCTCTTTCATTGTCCTAGGTTAAGAATCGGCCGCCGTCGCCGAACCCCGCCGGGGTCTCGTCAACACCAATAATTAAGTGAACCTTAGTAGAGATGTGGGTCGCATAGGCCGCGTGCGCATTGTCCCCACGCAGACTCTTCGCCAGGGCTCTGAACCGGAGTATGCGAAATTTTAAAAGTTATTAACGCATATAAATATTATATCAGTTTTTTTAATCAGCATCGTTCTAGGTTCCATTGTATTAGCAAGTACGAAGAACGACTATGCGCAGTGGTTGATGTTAGCCTGGTTCGGAGCCCTGCTCTTCGCACAAGCAACGAACGCACGGCTTCGCGCCGGCCGGCCGTCGTTCGTGATGTAGAGTAGCCGATAACGTTCTAGTCAGCTTTCGATGATCTCTATTTATCTATAATCTTATCGTAATCGCAGTCGTGTATTCTGTTACTAGTACTAAGTGAAGTCTTCGTGTTCAAATGTAACCGAGCGAACGACGATCTTCGTAGAGGGACGGCTCGCATCCCCCGCGCGATAACGTTAATCTTAAATCTAGATATTGTCATATTCAGAACTACTTATCAATAGTACGCATATTGTTATCGGATTGCTAATTTTGTGTAAGTACACAATTAGTATAGTTTATATATACTTATGTGTCAATTCTTATAGCATTTTATTACATTTAACAGAAATGATAGCAAGTAAGTGTTAAAGGTTATTGAGTTGGGTTTCGCCGATTCCGTTTATGGGTTCGTTAGTTCAATCTAATAATACCCCTTGCTTATGTTATATTTAATATCTTATTCGTTAACATTTCGTAGCTCGTTGAAACAGAATATCTCGAAACCTAAATGTCGCCCCGCTTTGTGAATTTATACAACAACGAAAAGGAAATTGTATTTTTTAAGATCGCTTTTAACGGAAGTTGATGTCTGTGGAGGTAACAACGTGACGCGTCAACGAAACATAACGACTTTGGTTGGTCGGTTTTTGTTCAGTGAAGTGTCGGCCAATCAAAACACAGCAATGCAATCTGTGGTGCTGCGTTTGCGCGTCACATTTTAATTCCCGGAAGATTCTCGATTGCACACCGATTATTTATTCGATTAATTCTTGCTAAATCCCATTACGCTTAAGATACATATTGAATAATCAATACTTTTACCTCATTTACCGATATACCTATAAAGTAGACAACGTAATGTCATGTTTAAAAACTGCGTCTTAAGAGATAGAAGCACAATGATAGAGTTAGAATAAGGATCACATTTTATTTAATTTTACATTACATACATATATACAACTTAAATCTCAGAAAGAAATTGAATCATAAAAAGGCCTGTATCTCCGAAGTAAAAAAAAAGTATTATTTAATTGGTACTCTCTTTATTCTAACTCTAATATTGTAGCCGAAAATGTTACTCAGAGAGTAGAGCCGCTAGACTTCTATTTGAAGTAGTATGTTTCCTACAAATCAACGTAAATTTTGTGCTTTGTACTTTCAATCTATTCGATGTTGCTTCGCGTTACTAATGTGAAACATTAATGTTTATATAGGATTTATTATGATTGATATTGTTTTGAAATGTTGTTTACTCCAAAAAATATTTAATAGATTGATTAGTGAGTAATATTTTTGTTGTTTTGTAAATTATGAAAATTGGTATAAAAATATTCGTACAGCAACTTACATGTACCGAAAATAATAATCACTTATAAAAATACCTAATAATTAGTTATAATAATATTAATTAATGCATCATTATTGTGGTTACAACTTACATTACTGTATATTGGATAACAGTGAGATTCCGAACACAATGTAAAATTCAAATTAGATTTGTTTTATAGTTATATTCTGTACGTAGGTTATCAATCTGAAATTCTCTTATAATTATAAAATAAACGGTGTTTTCTGCTGTGAAGATGGTGTTTCTTTTTTATCTCTAATAAAGTTAGTCAATACGTTCTAGTCAAAACATGTTTAACCACCAAACAAATATTACCTTAATATTGAATTAAAATATGAACATAATAATATTACTATGGTTCCCTTAACTCAAGAAATATAGCCTATATTTCTTATAAAATAAGCTCAAATAATTAAAAAGCTTATAGATTGTAAAGGAATTATCGACTATTTTTGCATACCAATGTCACGATTGATTTATATCTGTATCGGTTTACGCGGCAATTGTTGTTATCTATAGTGTCAATATCTAAGGTGTCAATTGTCAGAATTATCATTTCAGTGTCAATACTCAATTAGTAATCTGCATGCACTTGTACTGTTGTTATTAGTTCCAGTTGTTTCTTGTTTTATTAAATTATATCTGTTTACTTTAACATTTATTTTAATTAATAAATCATAATTAAGAACAACTATGAACGCACCACCCACCTTTGAATCATTTCTTTTATACGATGGGGAGAAAAAGTAAGTTACCGGCTGCAAAATTATTTTTAGTGTGTTGATTGTTACGTTTATAATATAATTAAAACGTTACAGGGTTCAAAAAGAAGAAGATACAAAAGTAACAAATGCTGCTATTTTCACTGTTAACAAAGAAGACCACACACTGGGCAATATGATTAGACAGTACGTAAATTAACGAAATTACGTTTGCCGCTTGAATTTTACGCTTAACATTTAATTACCTTTCCAGCCAGCTTCTGAAGGACCCAAAAGTTCTATTTGCTGGTTACAAAGTGCCCCACCCCCTTGAGCATAAGTTTGTTTTGCGCATCCAAACAACATCGGATTATACGCCACAAGAAGCTTTTATGAACGCTATTACAGATTTAACGTCTGAACTATCGCTTTTTGAGGAGAGATTCAAGGTAAATATTTAATTTGAAGCATCAAACAAAATGCCGGAAAATGTCATGACATCCACTGCTGGTGTAAGTAACGTTTACATTTACTTATTGGGAAGAAAATGGTCTCCTAAGTGTGTTACTACTACATGTTATAGAATACTTTTCTAACTGTGCTAAAGACCAAAACAGATATGGCCGATTTAAAACAATAGAGAACTAGTGAGGACCTTTAATAGAGTGAAGTTGTTGCCACAGATTACACAGGGATAAAGAAATATTGATTATATATGTACCAAACAACCTCAATATTCAAAAATGCTAGTATGACAAGATTTTTTTTCTAATTTCACATCAGTATTATTTACCTCAAGATTTGCAACACTTTTTAGCGATCATGCATGAGTGGAAGTCTACCTTCTATTATCACTGACTGACTGACCATTCCTATGTTAATGTTGAGAAACCTTAATTCTATCCATTAACGTAAATTTATTTTTAAGTTTTCTATTAATTTGGCATGAAATTGTAGTTTTTAGTAAACCTTGTGTGTTTAAATGCCAAGTTAGAGTGCAGATACTCAAATGGGATATGGGTGAACTGGTCAGCAAATTATGTGGACTGATCACCCGGCCTTCTATTGGTGTCCACAAATGAAAAAATCTTAAAACATTATACTGTTACAGTTTGCTGTACTGTATAGTATATAGACTTTTATATTACACAGTAAATTACATATTTTTTATCCATAAAATATAAAAGTAATGGTGACTTAAGTTACTAATTATGTATGGCCTTCCATTAAATATATGTTGATGTTTTATTTACAAAATTTATATTTAAAGAAATATATACTAATATTTAATTTAATTCATGTTATGTAAAATTTAATTTAATTTTTTTCAGGAAGCTATCAAAGAAAAAAAGGATGGATTAGATTAACAACTTACATTATATATAGAAAGATATAATTTTAATGAAATAGGATAAAAGGTAATAAATATTATAATTAAAATTATGTTCTATTTATCATGTTTATAATTATTCTATGCCATGCTTGTGTCTTTGCAAAATTTAAGAGAAAAAGGATTGAGATATTTACCCAGGAGTTTTAAAATATTGTTATTGTATAAATTTTGGTGTTTAGAGACTGGTCATTGCAAGACAGTAAGAAATGCAAGTTGGTCCTTCGTACATACAGTTCCATACGAGAGAACACATTACTAAGTCCAATGTATTGTTTCACCGAGTTTCAAATTTATAACTTTTCGATTTTTATAGAAATTAGCAAAATGTTAAACCATTGCAGCGCAGCCTTGGTTAGGTAAATAAAAGATGGATATATTTCAAATAGTATTTTATTATAAACTTTTGGTGTTTATTAGAGAATCGTGTGTAGAGGGAAATTTATTCAATCATGATTGTGATGATTATTTTGTGCCAACAGTCTTCTTCTCAATATACATTATATCTAGACAATGTATAAGAAAAATATACCTTCCTTGAATCAGAACATGCATGGCATTAAAACTTAGAGTCGAGACTTATATACAAACACTTTCTAGAAATACTAAAACAAGATACCATGGATATGGTAAACAATAAAATAAATACCTAGCATGAAACAAGTAACAGTAACAATGGGTAACATTTAGTTAAAACAATAAATAGCTCCTAGAAGGTTTCTTCATCACAGTTCTCTGTAGAGTGGCCGAACACTGGAACAAAGAAGACTATATCAACACTGATGCAGAAAAACTGGCTTAGACTAGGTGAACAATGGTATCTACTAACATTTTATACTCAAACATTTATTTAGGTATATCAAATGCTGTGTGTATATTCTACGCCCACATAGGAAAAAATCAAAAGTAAATTGTGTCATGAAAAAGTTATTCTCCTTTCACCCGAACTTGTATTTTTATTTTTTTTGTATTACTATTCCAACCATTTTTAAACCTATAACCAATTGGGCTACCATGTCCTACACGTCATCGTCGAATTTTTTCAACCTATTAATAATTTGCGAATTAAGGTTCAATGTCTTATGTATATTCCTTAGTTTGTTACCTTCACAAATATCGCAGTAGGCCCTCGGAGGCGGAGGCTGCTTCCGTCCCGGATTGGGGACAGGCTCGTCAGTCACCAGCGCCTGCTTGGGACAGTCCTCTGTGTCATGGCCGTCGAACACGTCGCAAATGTCGCAGAACAACCGCGGAGCCACCGCTCGTGCTTTGCGTCCGTTACTGCAGAAAATAGTAATCAATCTATTAATTTTATGGTAGAAAAGTTAGGGGTTCACTCGATGGAAGGTAAAATACCCAGCTATAGAAATACACAGACTGAAATCGAGACGCGATTTAACTTCACGGCTTTTTCATCTGTGGACGGCGGTTCGTGACCCGGATGGAATTTCTTTATTCCTACCACCTATTTAACATCCATATTTTCCGATAAGATCTAACATGTTTCAGATAAAATAAAAATTCATTAGAATCATGTTGCACAAGGAGGGATCAAATCCGCTAATATTATTAAAAAATACATTGCTACCATCAGACCAACGACACCGTGAAATACAATGTGTAACAATGACTTTATTTTACTAGTAACCTGAGGCTTGCCTGATCGAATCTATGTATGACATGTCTTGTCTATTGCCCATTGCAATGTTACCACCTACCTACTAGTATTTATTGAACTATGGACACCGTAAATTATACACATTTAGAAAATTGTCGACTTACAAGAGAGGAGGTTCGTTTGCCAACGCGCCTCCTTCTAAAACCTGGACTCGCGCTAGAAGTTGTTCGTTCTTCCTTTGCATGTCCACTATTACTGAATTCAAGAAATTCACCTGACCGTCTATCTCCGTCTCCTTATCTTCCGACCTGTACGAAGAAGAAAGTATTATAAAAGGTGGGAAACACTTTGACCAGCTTCTTGTTCATCTACCAGTTATTGTGCGAGTGGTACACAGTAAATAAAACATGTGTGACAGTAAAATGCTGTTAGGCACCAGACATATTAGGCCTCAAATTTTTATATAAAGTTAAAATTAATTTTATATAGTTTAAAACTAAATACTGTCTATAATTTACGCCAGTAGTACACATTTAAATAAAACAATTTAACGGTTTAAAACGCGATATATTAGTTAAATTCTTGCAATTCAACAAAATACACCAAAATTTCAATAGGGAGGACGGCCTCAAATTATTAAACACCTGGGATCCCATATTAAAAACTCTGGATCCCAATAAACAGCATACCGGCAAATAAACGCGAAGACACCGTTAGTCAATTCTGTAAGGACCCGCCCAACTCAAGAACTGATGGCGCTAGCGTAGCAATTTTTTATTTTGACGTCAGAGACATCCTCCATCTTTAGTCTCCCGGTGACCACGGCTGCTGCAAAGCATCCGAAACGTCGGGCCGAAGTTAAAAATAATTTTCAAATAAGTTTAGCTAATATATCGCGTTTTAAACCGTTAAAGTGTTTTATTTAAATAGTTTAAAACTATTAAAAAACCATTTATTAATAATCAAGACTTTTTCTCTAAACACTTACCTTTCGGGTGCAGAGTCCCCTTGCCCCAAAGTGCCCATCGAATTATTGTCGTTTTTATCTCGAATTTCGTTACTCTTCGTCGACATCTCTTTCTGCAGGAGAACCTTTTCTCTTTGCGCGATTTCAAGTTTCGCTTTGAAATTCTAAAACACAGTTTAGCATTAAAGTTTAGATGAAGAAATATTATTATTTCTATTGCATGTTGTAATTACCTTGAGATCATCCTCTAACCTAATAATAAGACTATCTTTCTCCTTAACTAAAGCTGCCTTCTTTTCAACATCGGACTTCATATTCTGCAGTGACTTCTCCATGCTCTTTAGAGCTTCACTATTAGAATTTCTTGTAGCTTGAAGTTCCAGTGTTAATTTTTCCAATCTACCATCCTTTTCACCTTCATTAGTTTGTTGGACGGAGACAAGTTCTAATTTCTCCCTTAATTCTAATACAGCCTTTTCCGCGTCATTAAGTTTAACTTGCAATTCATTTTGCATCTCTAACTGTTGTGTTATAATCTTCTTGGAATCTTGTAACTCCTTTTCATAATCGCTAATTTTAGCTTTAAGCTCGTGTCTTGTAATTTTACTTTTCCTTTTATATTCGTCAAGTTGAGACTGTAATTGTTTGTTAAGGTCTTGGTAATTTGCTTTCTGGGCTTCGTTAATGTTTGTCAATTGCTTTATATCACTTTCTGACTTTGTAAGTAATATTTGAAGGTCATTTATTTTTTCCTTAGTGGATATTAGTTCTTCGGATCGGTTTTCGTGCTCTCTCAAATTGGTCTGGAGTGTCTTAATAGTATTACTTAGAGATTCTATTTCAGCAAGATGTTTTCTTTTAATCTCAACAGATTCACGTTCTAATGACTCCATCATTTGTTTAGTATCAGTTGTCTCACCTTGTATTTTCTGGTTTAATTTATTTAATTCTTCCTGTGTTATCTTTAATTCTTCGCCTTTAATATTAACCTCATTTTTAAGTAGCGTTACTTCTTCTTGAACAAGTAGTAATTTGTTATTGTCTTTGTCAATTCTTTCGCTGTGCGATTTTATTAAAGCGTCCTTTTCATCGATTAGTTTTTTATAATCAGTATTTTCTTCAGTGCTTTGTTTCAATTTGGCAACTACATCTTCTAAATCCTTCCTTACTTTGTTAATTTCTGTAACTACTTCAGTATATTTTGTCTCTACATTGTTCTTATCAGTGACGATCGTCGCCATTTCTGATTTTAATGTTTCTAATTGTCCTAACTGCTCCTTCAGCAAAGATTCTTCAGATGATGAATTTTTCAGAAGGTTCTCATATTTCTGATTGGCTGTAGCTAAATCCGTTTGTATTCTATTGAGTTGTTCATCTAACTTAATTTTATTTTCGGATACTTTTACAAGTTCTGCATTGATTTGGTTCATTTGACGATCTTTTTCTACAACGAGTTCTTCATTAGATTTTACATCGACCTGAAGCATTTCCAACTGAAGGTTTAGGTCTTTTATAATTTTTTCTTTATCATCTAACGATTGCCTTAGCTGTGATTCTTCCTTCGTTCTCATTTCTGCTTGATTGTTTACATGGGCTAGGTCACTTAAAATTTGATTTTTCTCTTTTTCGTGATGCGTTTTTTGGTTGTTTAATTGGGAAGTCATGTCATCTAATATTTTCTGTAAAGAGTCTTCATTTTTTCTAGCTTCTTCTAGTTTGTTGTTTAACTCATTTTGGGCTTCTGTTAACTGATCTACCTTTTCTATCAGTTTTACTTCCGATGAAGCACCTTCCGCCCTCAATAGCGACACTTCTTCTTTATATTTGTCGATGTCTACTTCAAGCTTTTTTCGAGCGGCTTCAAAATCGAGAGTCAAATCTTGTTCTTTTATTTTTAGAGCTTCTATTTCTTGCTTCAATATCGAGTTTTCGTCTAATAACTTGTCATAGGCAGATTCTACATCCTTAATGCGATTATTTAATTCCACAAAATGAACCTCAGAATCCTTAACTTTTTGTTCTGCACTTTGGTATTTCTCAACTCCTTCATCAATAGATCGTAATAGTTGAGTTCGTTCTTCAGAAAAGTCTTCTTGTATCTTAAATATTTTCTGTTTTAATTCTTGTTCTATTCTACCATAATTATTAGCTACCTCTCTTTGCTTATCTTTAAGGTCCTGAAGCTCTTTTTCCGTAGTTTTTAAGTGTTGTGTAAGTTTGTTAAATTGCTCATTTGAATCTGTAGTTTGGCCAGTAAGGTTCATGTATTCACTTTCTATCTTTTCTTTTGTCTGCAACAACTCATTACATTTTTCTTTCGTGCTTTCCAATTGCCGATTCAATTCTCCAATCTCAAGTTCCATTGAGGCGATTTGCGCTTTTAGAGTGTTATTCGTTTCTGTCAACTCATTAATTGTTTGTTTAAGTTTAACATTTTCCTCTTTTAGGACGTTCAATTCGTCTGTGTTTATTGTGAATTGCGTCGTTAAAGTTTCTAGTTCTACTTTATTTTTGTCCAACAACTGCTTGTGATTTTCTATTTCTTTTATCAACTGCTCTATTCTTGTATTGCGGTCTTCAATTTCTTTTTTGTGTTCCTCTGCTATCTTAGTATGTTTTATATTGAAATTAGCGGTTGTTTCTTCAAATTCGTCTTTTAATTTAACTATCTCCTTATCGCGTTCATGAATTGTTTGTTTATAATCATGTATGACCTTTTCATTAGACGTGTTTGCTTTCTGAGTTTCAGATAACAATTTCTCATAGTCCCTGGTTTTGGTACTTAGGTCTTGTTTTAGCTTTATTATTTCTGTCTTATTTTTCTCATCTTGTTGTGACGCTTCATTCAAAACGCTTTCGTATTCTGTTATTTTTTGGGACAACTCGTCTTTTATCCTCGTTATCTCTTCTTGCAGCGTCTTGCATTGCACGTCTTGTTTTGTTTTAGAATCTTGCAATTGTTCTATATCTAAAATTTTGGCACTAAGTTCCATTTTCAATTTACTGATTTCTTTGTTTAGGTTAACTTCGTGTTCTTTGCTTGTCCCAAGTACTGTAACATAGAAAAACTTAATTGATATTTTGTAATGGTCGAGTTATATAGGTAAGTAACATGATAACATATTGAAAACTAAACTTTAATATGTTGTAAGGTGTACCTTTATTTAGTTCCAATGTCTTATCGTCCACTGTGGCTTGGAGTTGAGTAAGCTTTGAATTTAAATCCGCAATCACTTGACTATTCTCTTTATTTAATCTCTCAACATTTTGTTTTTCACTTTCTAGCTTCGATTCAACGAGCTGCAGCTTAGCCGTTAGCACAGAGAGTTGAGTTTCAAATTCTGTTTGGGCAATTGCCATTTTAGTTTTTGCTTCCGTTAATGCTTTCTCCGATTCCATTTTGACTTTGCTTAGTTCGTCGGACATACTCTTACCCATGGAATCTTTCTCATTTTCTTTTTCTTTCAGAAGAGCATACGCTTCGTCCAACAGCTTCTGTAGTTCTGATGATAACGCTGAAATGTTATAATTAATATTGATATACATTATTTATATAGTTCGAAATCAGTAGAATAAACAATGTCAACCTACGGTATTGTCTCCCAGGTCGTGTTCCCAGGTTACAAAAACAATACCTCTTAAAAAGTAATCGGCATAACTTACTTTGTGCAGCAGCCAACTCTTCCTTATGCTGTTCAATAATAGCAGCCATTTCAGCGTTTCGCTGGTCTTCCAGGGCTTGGAGGGCGCTGGATGTCGTTTCAGCTCTTCCTGATTGCAAAGCGACTTCAGCTTCCAACTCACGAATGTACTTTTCGCGTTCCATTTTTTCACGCTGTAACATGTTGAGTAAAGATTTTAAAAGCTTTATGTTATAACAAACCCTAAAACAAAAAGAAATTATAAAAGAGAAAGGCGGCCTTATTTCTAAGCAATGATCTCTTCCAGGCAAGAAGTACAGGAGAAAAGAAATAGAACCAGACTTATGAAGTGGGTAGGTGTAAGGAATAATAAACAAAAAGCGAAGTCACATCGCAAAAGTATACACAGCAAGTAGGAGAGACTAACTAACTTAAGAGTAGGAAAGGTAAAACTTATAAAGCAAACTCTTAAAAGAACGGAGAGATTGAGCTTTTCTGATATAAGAGGGGAGAGAGTTCCAAAGGCGGATAGCTTTAACTGTGACAGAATTATTTAAGAAAGAGATCGTATAGGAACATTTACCTACTGTGTCAATTAAATGAAAGATTGAAATTAAACTTTTGGATTAAAGGGGCCGCCGTTTTCGCTTTATTTTAGTATATAAGCCTTGTTTTATTTATTTACTAGGCACAATAAAGTGTCAAAATAAACGGATCTTACCTCCATCGCTTCTTTGTAACGCTGAAACAAAAAACATATTTAAAAATCAGACAAACATATCTACTTAACATACTTGTTTTTTTTTTTAACTACGCTTACGTTATAATCCTCTTTGTTGATGTTTTCTTCTTCATTTCTGAACATGAGATCTTCAACTTTTTGCTTCTCATCATCGAATAGCTTGTTTATTTTTTCTAATTCAGCCTTAAGCTTGGCGTTCTCTGTGCTCGCCTAGAATATAAAAACGATTTAAATTCTATTTCTTTCAATTGCTATCCTAAAATAATAACGCCTATTATTACCTCGGACGCTTCCTTCTGAACTTGCGCAAGCGCAGTTTTTGCGCGATCAGCCTGAAGTGTTATTTTTACTATCTCCGCCCTCTCCAGTTCCCTCTCTTGCATGAGTCTTTCGAGGTGATGCTGTTTCTCTCGGAGCAGTTCCTATTTATAAAGTGTTTGGTAATTTTTCGACAGACAATACATACATATCATTTATTAACCATGTTCCAATATTGAACGCTTTTATTAGTTTACCGTTAGTGATAGTATCTAACTATTAAATAACGCATGTTTTGTAATGAGAATAGTACAAACTTGTGCAGAACCTTTGGCTGCTGCTGCTGCTAAATAATCATCAAATTTATACAATTTAAAACTTACTTAACTCTTAAAGACCTATCAGACATATATAGAGAAAAAAAACGGTTTAAAACGCGAACTATATATGTTACTTAATTATTGATTACCTCCACTCGACATAACGGACGGTTTTAAATCGCATCGCAGTTAAAAAATAACTGATTAAAAATAGTTCCTGATTTTGACCGTTAAGAATATTTATACAATAAAATATAATATGTTTTATTGTTAATAAATTGTTTACATGATTGCGTTCTGCGTTATCGGTGTTTCATACAATCAAAAATTTTTAAAGCCGAAAACATGTACACTTTTCACAACCGATTATTATTATTTCTATTAAAAAATATTGACGCGGGACTCGAACCTACGACCATAATATCGCGATTCGTGTCCTACCAATTGAGCTACCATTTACTTATTTTAGTCATTCAATCCGTATATAAATGTTCCTATCGCGCGATGCATGTTATGAGGGGGTTTGATCCCCACCGGAACAGATGAAAAAGCCCAAAAGTTTAATTGCGTTTCGGTGTCAGTCTGTGGATTTCTGAATATGCAACGTTAAAATAGGTCGACAGCGCAAATCTCTTTTCGTTGCTCTAGGCTAGGGTATTTCACCAACCCTCAAGTGAACCAGACAGACTAGACTAGACTACCTCTATATGAAAAATAAAGTATTCTACAAAATTTCTAGAATAAACGAAAAATCATTGCACAAGTACATGTGTAAATATATTCCGAGAGTTGATTGATGTGACACCAGTCGTATAGAGGCAGACAATTATGACATGAGTAACATTCATTACCAAACCAAATAAGAACTGCATTGTTGAGTTTAATTGCTCGTAGCGTAACTTTTTTCGGATCGATCATTATTGTATATAATGATATCGAATGAGTCAGACTGGGTGATTATTAGCTTATATTACTTTTAAAAGTAAAGTTAATGTTAAGTATATTACAACAATCATTTTTGGAAAGGAAATCATCTATACTAATATATAAAACTGAAGAGTTAGTTTGTTTGTTTGCTGCTTCCAGTAGTTCCTGAGATTAGCGCGTCTCAGGAACTACTGGTTCGAATTGATAAATTATTTTTGGGTTAGTAACATTTATCGAGGAAGGCTATAAAACGCGCTGTGCTAATAGGAGCGAAGAAGCAGCGGGAAGCAGTGAAAAAAACGGGAGAAAATTTTCATCTCTGTTGATTTCCGATGCGTACGCTGCGAAAACGGTTCAAGATACCCAAAAAATATGTATGAGAAAATGATTCTTTTTAAATGATCTAATAAATGTCCGACACTATATGTCTATCTTTGAAGATTAGAAGAAGTCGCTGACACAGCGACTTCGTCGTTAAATAAAGCAAAAGATAACACGTTTTAATTCTTACTACAACCATCTTTATTTTAAAATCCTATTGTTGCCAGTATTAAGATGTATTTTGACTAAAAGCTTTAATACAGTCTATGCTTTCGTCATTATTATATATGTTTGAAAACTACTGCCCCATTTTTAACCTTCACAAAGATACATTTTCTATATAACAAAATAACCCCAAAACGTTATTATTTGCTGTTAGTGCTAATAATAAAAAAAATTTTGTTTGGAACAGCAAAAGAAGTCTGTGGTCATGTGTTCAAGTCTCGCTCACATCAATTTTTTTGTTACCTTTAATACAACTTACATGTAACATAAATATAACAAAAAAATAATTAAATATCTTAAGTATGTTGTTTCTGATTAAACGTATTTCTATTCTATTATATATATGTCTGTGTAGTTTTTCATTGACGTCGTTTCTAGAAGTACATTATTGCTTATCTATTTAAATTAAGTTGCGCAACAAATTCGCAACATAAGGAGTCGTGCACATATTTTATCGTTTCCATCACACCACATATAGTGTTGCTACATCTTATTACATTTAGTGTTCAACAATTTCTACAAACACTAGGCATGGAAAACATTTATTATTTATACTCTTATAGTTTTAGAAAATTCAATTAACCTACTCAATGTCTTCTTTATTTATAGATTAACCCCCCTCCACCCCAAAAATAAGGATATAAACACACAATCTTAAGATCAACGTGTATCGAGTACCGACCTATTTGTCTACACTAGTACACACTATGTATTATTGTTAAATAAGAAATTTTAATTAAATAAAAAAGTAATGAGTTAAAACCCGATATATATTATTTAAAAATTATTTTTAACTTCGGCCCGACGTTTCGGATGCTTTAATAAGTTTAACTAATATATATCGCATTTCAAACCGTTCAAATGTTTTATTTAAATGTGTACTATTCGCGTAAACTACAGACAATACTTAGATTTGAATTAGACGATTTATTTAACTGCAATTTTATGAATTGACCTATTTATATTTTCATAGTCTAAAAATTAAGTTAATCTACAAGACCACAGGGACCGAAAATTGTTAACTTAACTTTTACACTTTAGGCCACTCTGCCTTAAACAGCCTCATATGTAGTGTAATCACGTCATTATTAGAGCCTATAACTGATTGATTCTGATACTCTTTTAGCAATTGTTGATATTCCTATCTATGAGTTAACACAAGTAAAAATAGTTATTTAGTATACATCAATTTCACATGGAAATAACTGAGATAAACCTATTTCCATTAAACCTACAGCTTAATTAAATGCAGCTATTAAGGTAGGTCATAATTAATTTTAGTTATCTTGATGTTATATTTGATTACGACTTCTATTTAGGGCATAGAAAGACTATTAGCTATAAAATAGATTTAATAGCAAAGGCTAGTTTAGGTTCAGACGTGTAATATAGGAAAATTACAATTAAAACACGCACAATTTCTAAAAACACTATATAAATCTTGATTGCTTGATTGTAATAAACTTAGTAATTGTAAAAAATAGGCGGTAGTTATAATTTTTTTATTATAGTATGAATAATTCAGATTATTTCGTTTTTGTGGTTATACCTTTTTATGTTATATTCCATTGACTATTGGAAATCTTATAGCAAACAAAATGGGTGGATAACGAGCTTTATCGAATATTAACACCTACCCACGCCACGTGTTTATTAAGTCATCGCTTACGTTGGCGATACATATAAGGATTTACTTAAAACACAAGAAAATATGCGGTTTTCAATATTTTGAAGCTACATATTTAATTTAGAACAGGTTATATAAGAATTTAGTGTTCCTACTGAGATGATGAAACAAATCTAGTCATAATAGAGGACACAAGCTTAGGGTTCCCTTGATGGAAGGTGTAAATACACCAGCTCTACAATATCTCAACAAGATGCGAAAATTAGGATATCCACAGACTGAAACCAAAACGCGATTAAACTTTTCAACATTTTTATCTGTGGCCGGTGGTTTTCGATATTTGAAGCACTCATTTTATCATCAAGATTTCCAGACGGAGTTTCATGTAGGTATTTAAAAAAAATTAAGACGTTGATTAAACCCGGTGGGGACCCCTCTGTACCTTTTGCTAGACCAACGAGTCCGCAAACTATATAGACAATGGGGATACCTGTTCTGCTACACTCATGTTACTTACAGGATGAGCAGACCTGCCTGCTTGACGATACCTATTAGTGTGTATCCCCGGCATTCGAACCTAGGGTACTATTGCCTGTAACCATTGAGCCACAGAGGCAGTAAGATATCTACATATCATCTCAAAGCAAATGCAAACTATATTTTGTTCATTTTGGACATACAACCTCTTACGTGGGACTCATTAACTTGTAAAAGGTAAACTTATCTATTACAAGGAATAAACCAAAAATACCAGTAAAACCGCGGCTAGACTATATTCAACAACTATTAAGCAGTTTCCATATAAATGAGCTTATATAACTTGGAAGGATGCCAAACACAAGGCAGGGTCTCACTACATCATTTTATATGCATAGTTACGGTCTTTAAAAGTGACTAGAAGCTAAGTTATGGCGTAAAACATTACTCTAAATAACGACGTGGTTGGTGTAATGGTAGCTATGCATGGCTTATGGTTTGGCTATTGGTTCGATCCTCGCTGGGTCCAACATGTTTCTAATTGTTGTTGTCCCCCCGTGACCACGGCTGCTGCAAAGCATCCGAAACGTCGGGCGGAAGTTAAAAGTCATTTCCAAATAAGTTTAACTAATATATCGCGTTTTTAACCGTTAAAGTGTTTTATTTAAATGTGTACTACTCGCGTAAACTATAGGCAGTGTTTTATGTTTCTAATTGATTTATAATTTTACTGAAACATGTTGGACTTCGTTTGGAAACCTGGATATTAAATGGTGGTAGGAATATTGAAATTCTGCCCCGGGTAAGGAACCACAGATACAAAGGCTGTGAAGATTAATCGTGTTTCGGTTTCAATCTGTGGATTTCCGAATATTGGAAGTAAAAAAAATAGGTATTTTTGTTGTATTTCACCTTCCATCAAAAAAAACATCGCGCTTGTTTGTCCACCACTATATAAATAGATTTAATCGAATATATCTAATATAAAAGAAATCCATTTTTGTTTGTTTTATTTTTACTGTAATAATGTAAATCATGTGATTTAAATGATACCTTTTTAAGATTTCGTTTGTCATCATTGATGATTGTACAGTGCTCTTTAATAATCTTTCTGTTACGGAAAACGCGAATAAAAGTAAATACAAATCGTCATAAAAAATATTGACTTCCTCCACCAATCAAGAATCCAAACATCAAAGGCGTATTGTACACAGCTTGTTTTCATGCAATCTTTGTCAATATAACTCGGCAAACGGCATGCAATTTGGTGTGCTAGCTAAATGGATAAACTTTGATTCAGTGAAAATGTTGAGTTTATTAAGCGGCATTTTAAAAATCTTTTTTGCTGAAAATTTTTCAAAATTTAAGAAAAACATTACTTTATTGACGATGTTTTAACACAAGCCCGCGACATACATCACTAATAAAATTCAAAAATATATATTTTTTCGATATTTTCAATTGCTTAATAAATTTAATTTAACACACAATTTTGGACGAAATAATAATATTATTTAATTAGACAACAAGGGCGGGACTCAAACCCAACAACACAGCGTTCCAGCACTGTTGTTCATGTAAAAAATCTAATATTTACGTAACCTGATACGCAATTTATAACTTTGCAAGTCTATACGCAAGCGAAATATAATATATCCAACATTTTCCCGAACAAAGTTGATCCATTCGTCAAACGCTTCCTCGAATAAAACCACTCTATTTTTGATGCATTTTATTTACACAGTAAGGGTGAATAAGGGAAAAAGACCAACAAGTATAATAATTTATTACCAATATTACCATACGTATAATTAATGGTTCAATCACATAGGTGTTACAGTAAAGTCTACACTATAATAGAAATACTAAGTTAATAATATTAAATATATTAATACTTATCTATAAAACAAAGGAATGCATACGAATCTTATAGCTATGAATATTTTGAAATCTTACAGGCACTGGAGATATACAATTAAAAATGCACACACAGTAAAAATAAGTTATCGATAACCGTTATACAAAATAAGCTTTTTTCATATTGTAAAACCGAAGTATCACAGTATATGGTTTGATATAAGCATTGCGTTTGATTTCATTGATACCACATTACGTAATATTGGAACATGGTTACACTTTGTACTTTTAGTGCGGGATCTATCATAGATATGATTTTTTAAACATTATAACAGAATTCTAAAAGAAAACATAGTTAATAGACATTAGTTTGTGAGCTAAACTACACAACGAATCACAAAGAGAACGTTTCCACTGTACTTTAATATCGGACGACGAAATTGACGTTCGATTTTTAAAAATGGAATGCCGATATTGCAGCGCGGTAGTGTACAAGGGTGCTCAACTTAAAACAATATAGATTAAATCCCTTCAGGACTATTTGATAAGAATCTAAAATAATCTGTATTCAAGCCACATTTTTTTGGATGATATAGGACGACAGCCAAGCATGGGGCTCACGCAATGGCAAGTGAAATGGCCCAACATCTAAACGAGATGCTCTATTTTGGCTTTGAATATTAGAAAATATTCATATCAAACAGTTCTGTAAATATTCTTTCAAGTAAAGCACTGCTTATGAGTTTACCGCGCAGCGATAGTGGCGTACTGTACCTGCAGGGCGTTCTTAGCCGAGACCGGGGTGGATGAAGCTCGCGGTGGACCGACACGCTGCACATCGGATCGTGACGTGACGTGCCGTTAGTGACAGTGCGAATGCGCAACAAACATGAAGGAAAAACAACACGCGTTAAGGCACTCAAAAAACTACCGCCAAGCGTACGTTTAATATAAAACCTTGATTAATGATTATATAGCCGTACACTGAGCGGTTGTTATTTACATAATGCAAATAAAATCTATGTTTCTATAAATTGCATTAGGTTCTCTTCAGACTACGCTATAGTATAGTAGCATAAAGTTGACGCCTAATAAAGTATGGTATGTTATAGCGTAGTGTGAAACGGGCTTTAGGGTAACTAACTAAGAAAGCCTTTAGCATATTTTCACAACCACGAATTGAGATTAATTCATGCTTCAAAATCTCAATTAAATAAAACACTTCTAACGGTCTCTAACGCACATTATATTGCCCTGGAGTAGGTACGGCCACGGCTGCAAATCGTTACTATTAACGAATATTTCGCGTTTGACACCGTTAAAAATGATTTATTTAAATGTTTACTACTCTCATTAAGTATAGACGATCTTAAAAAATATCGTTCGTCTAGATAGGATCTAGCTAAGCACTATAAATTGTCATTTAAATGTTATCGGGAGATTCGTGTTGAACTAAATTCGAGCAACGCCACGATCTTTGGTATGTAAGTTATTCTAAGTATAAGTACACAACACTTTCAGTCATACATTCGCGATGGAATGTCCTTAAATACAATATCACAGTCAAATAAAACAGGTAAAGTTACCGACGCAGTCTTTAGTCACTCTAGGAAAATATAGACACCTAAAAGCTTTCTTACACAAAAAATATCTACGTAACTTCACTTGATAGTGAAGTGATTAAACAGCAAAAAATATATAAATGGGACCAACCGAAAGGGTGCCAGCTACAGACCAAAATAAAAGTTCATGCAAACGGCAAGCAGATAAAACACCATAACTTTTGTATGTACCCTTCTGTAAAGTTAATTGTCAAATAAAATACACTTTACATCTATTGCTTTCTAGAATCTAGTGTTGCCATCTATAACGTTAGTGGTAAGTGTACAAAGTGATTCAGTGAAAAATGGATGGATGCAAGGAACTATGGAATGATATTTGTACTCTTCATAATCGCTAACTACCGCCAAAACGTTAAGCAACAATAAATGTTTAATCGAGCTGACTGCGTTCAAATGTATACGACATAAGGATAATTGAACTGGAAGGGTGACACACAAGAGAAATGGTAGCTTTTCCCGAAGCTAGAGAAGTGAGTGCGCGAGGACGGCAAATCCACGAACAGGTCCGTAGCTGGGCCCCGGCTGGCCCGCGTCACGGCACCCGGCCGTCCCCCCCACCGCACCACTTCACCTCCCCTTGAGCCCGTGCGGGATACCGTCCCGCTACTACCGCTGGACACGCTGCGCCGCGACCGCTCCGACCGCGACTCAAAACTCAAAACACTCTCCGAACAACGCCAGGACTTCGGCAATGAGTCGTTTAAACGGCAGGGTACCGCATCGTTTTTCGCATTGCGGAAAACGATATCGTAATACACGCGGGGCTGCGGCAGAGCTATCAGGGCGCAGCGGTCGTGGTCTACGTGCTTCACCAGCAACGTCTTGTCGAGGAGGCTGGGCGCGCTTCGGTGCGGCCTGACATGGGGAGGCGGTGACCGGTGGGAGGACGGTTCGGCCGAGCGCGCGCGGGGCTAGCCTACCTGAGAACCCAGCGACGTCACCCCCAGTCTCACCCCTGCGCGGGAGGACGCGATCGATGTGCCGAGGGATGTGAGCGAATCGCGAGAGTTGGACCGTCGCAGCGGCGTGGCCCGCCCGTTGCTGTGGATGGCGCAAGCTCCTGGCTTGCGGTTAGATGGAGACCGAGAGACCTTGGATATGGGGGCAAACAGACCGAAACGGGGAGCGCACTCAAAGTATCTGAAAAGAGTTACCCCATACAACACACAGTTACATCTACAAACTGTTAATTTACGACTCGAGTTATATATACCTTTTCCCTTCCACGGAACCGTCGTTCTTTCCTATGGGATCGTCGAGTTCTACACCGGCCCATACGCCTGATGCGAAATCGGTAACGCCTACATATCTCAGTGTACCGGCCTTGCTGCCGCGGCTGCTAGACACAATGACGCGATCACCCATTCGAAGATCACCACCGGTAGTGGTGGATATTGAAGCATCTATAATTGAAATAGTGCTATGACTCTGTCGTTGCGGATAAATTTTGAATGACACTTGACTCGGACACTAACTCATTCTACTGCTGACAGCGCTGCGAATACTTCCATTGGGTGATAGAGCGCGTCTCTGTCGGGCTGAACCTGACGGAGGTCGTTCGAAGACGCTGCCCGCATCCGACACCGGTGACGCATCGTGCGGGGCGTGGAAAACCAACGGTTCGCGAGTCAGGCGTGTGAGACGGGAGAATACACCGCGTTTCTCCGGACACTGAAAGTAACGAACGCCGGCAACCGATCCGTCGTTCTTTCCTGGAAACCATACATTGTATACAACTTGTTCTTCTTATCAAACGAATTATCTCTACTAATAGATTACCGATTGGATCGTCGAGTACGATCCCCGCCCAATCGCCAGGAGCGAACTGTGTTTCGCCGATATAAGCGATTTGACCTGGTTTCGTCCCTCCAACCCACACTCGCTCCCCGATAATGAAGCTGTCGGTGTCTTCTGTCAGGACGACGCTGTGATCTGAAATGTTTTATACGAATCATAATAACCTACTAGCTCACAGTCTCACAATACCATTTTCCCTGTGGGGCATGGGGTCGATATGTTTCTATGTCCATTTATTTATTATTAATAAAAAAGTGCCTAATGTGATAGTTGTATTTAGCAATTTAACAGACCGATTTGATTTATTTGTTGATCAGAACTTTGCGAGACCGAAATGACTGATGATTGGGTAATGTACTCTTGTAGTATTTGATTCATGGCAGAAGCGCTGTGAGGAAGAGAAATTTCACGTCTCCAAAAGGACTGAAACTTATAGCTATCTAAATATGGATGCCAGTGCGCCATTCTCTACGCTATGCATACACGACTTGAATAAGCCGCGGTGCAACGGCCGATGCGACTTGCGTTTGCATTCCGGTTTACAAACCGCTACCGTACTACGTACCCGTGAACTTTCGTTGGACAAAAACAAACTGCATTTGACGATGTGAATGTCCAAATAAATTGCATTCCAAACGCTAGCGAAAGCGATATGTTTACAAATGGGCTACATTGATATACAAACATTAGATGTACAAATAAACATATATATGTAAAATCTAAACCTTTCCATTCGTGAAAATATAGGACACTTGCTTGAATTATTAGTTGCTTTATATAACATCTGAACAAGATGTGCTGTCGGCCTATTTTGGCAATGCACAGACCGAAACGCGATTAAAATTGACGGCTTTTTTATGTTTGTGACCAGAACGGAATTTTAGATAAACCACCCATTTAATACGAGACACGGTTTCAGAAAAAAATATAAATTGATTTTTTTTTAAATTGGACCCGGTGGGGATCAAACCCACGATTAATACCTGCTACCATTACACCAACGACCCCGTCAAACTACAACAACAATTATTTTAATTATGTATTCTGTTAACAGTAACATTAAAATCGTTGAAACAACTGACCCTAAGACTTGAGAATACTTAAGGCTTTTCAATAAAAATGCGCAAATAACTTAGGCGAACATGAATTCGTACTATTATTTGTGTAAGAATCATGTTAACAATTTTGGGTCACTGTGCTCTTGTAGATAAACATTTTTAAACTATGAAAATATAAATAAGTCAAGTCATAAAAGTGCAGCTGGCTCTAGCGACCTCATATATGAAATGGAAAGATTTAGATCCCGTATTGATCGTGCAATCTCACCTGAAGACCGCCTGAGGCCGGCCTCGCTGAGCCGTCGAGGGTGTTTCTCCCACAACGCGTCCATCGAAGTCACACTCGACCTGCTACTAGCTGTGACGACGCACATAGGACACACACACATTAGCCACTACCAAATAGCACGCGGTACATGCTTTGAAAGGATCATATAATATTCTAATCATATAAAATCATTAGTCTGTTTAGTACTGTACACGTTTGAACCGCCATTGTAAAATATATAAACAAACCTAATTTTGTTTCAACATATTATTTAGCAATCGTTTTAGAATTTGTTAATAATTCAGTCTCTCATGCAATTATAAATTTTGTAGGGTTCCGCACCGAACGGGTATAAACCTATTAGGTGTCTGTACGCTGTTTGTCTATCTGTTCGTCATCAGTCAGTATATCAAAGACCACTAAGCTAAATGGTTGGAGTTTAGATTTGGAAATGATAATTCAATATTGAATTTAGTTCCGTTGTAAAAAAATATATAAAAAAAGTCTCTATGTTATGCAAGTAGCGTATAAATAAAACGTATTTGACCATTTAAAACGCGAACTTAACTACGGCCAGACGCGCTGTAGGAGGGACTAAGTAAGGAGTGTCTCTAACGTCGGGCCTTAGTTAAAATAGAAACTAAATAAATTAACTATAAAGGTATTAGTCAAAGCGTTAAAATTGTTTTCTCTATTTCAATCTATGGCAATAGTCTAACACTTAATGTAAAAAAGGTAACATATGAAATTTCTTTCTTTAAAGAATGGTACGAAACCCCACGAGTGAATAAAATTCGCGGTTGACCAGTTTACATTTATACCTTTTTTTTAGTTCATAAATATGATTTCTTTGCCAATATAGGGCCTTTAGTTAATCTATAGTTGTAAAAATACTACTAGAATCGGTTAGATATATTTTTTATAATAATACGTCGCTAGTAGTAGTGGCTATTGAAATTAGTGCACCGTCACCATAACAAATGAACTGGTTATACACATGCTTCGGGCCATCCATAAACTAAGTCGTATATACGGGCCACTACGTGTGACGTCACAAATCTTGCAGCTATATATGAATTAAAAATCGATTATAGATTGAAAAAAATACGATACGGGCAGAATTTGAATCCTGCGGTGGCTCTAAACAATTGAGTTGGCGTTGGTTAGAGCAACAGCACGGGACGCTGTGGATGCCGGTTAAGGCCTGCACGTGTCGTAAGTCAATTAATAGTCGATTTCTAATTTATATAAAGTGCCTTCATGTGCATGACAAAAATGTGAAAGTTTTTAATTTTTTTTTTTATAAATTTTTATTCGAACAAAATCTATAAATGGCCCACTACAATACTAAATCCATACACTGTGCAAAGATATCCACAGACTCACTGGAGGCTTTGCGTTGAGCGCGGCGTCTGTCCGGCAGACTGCTACTCACTTCGTCCTCCTCAACTTCGATCAAATCTGTTCAAAGAACGGTGCAAAAGCGTAAAGGTGATGCCAGAAATTATTTACGAAGGAAAATTGCAATGAAAAGATGTCACATGCTTGCGTTGATATCGACATGCGCTTGCGCACCGAGTCGCGAGACTCACCTGACAGATTCTTTCTCGACGAATCGTCGCTAAACTTTCTCGCGTCCGACGAGCTGCCGTCTATGACAAAACGGAAACATGTAAAGCATAACAGATACATGCCACTTATGACAAAGTTGGAATGAAACTGACAAAACACTACGAAAACAGAAAGGGCTTAAGCGGTCTTATGTTCGGCCTTCCTGGAAGGCCGTTCTTATTGTGGTATAATATTGAATGAATAAAGAGTAATAAAAATTAGACTTGGACACAACTGGTAACATATAATACGTCATATTGGCTTATTTACGGGCAATAAATATATATAAACAAGATTAAAGATATACCGAAGTAGTACACATTAAAAACTATTTCGGGGAAATCCCCGGTGATCAAAACTAAAGGCACTCGAAGGTCCGGATTTAAATAATTAAAACTACCTTCACTTAATTTTGGACTTTTGGAATGTTGCACAACGTAGTGTATGACTTACTAGAGCTAAGTTGTCTCATAAGAAACGGATAAGCGCGGCTCCCGCGCCGGTCGATTCGCTTTGACGCGTGTCCGGCACTGATCATCGCCTGGAGGCTGATTAATCATCTGCGACAACTGCGCAACGAGTCGGCCTTGTGATGCGCGTGGGCACACGAAACATAACTATGACATACAACTATGTAGCCTAACGCGGGACACCGCCTACACTCGCTATTATACACGGAAGGAAACCCATCCTTTTCCACTACCTAATCTATATAATCTTTAAATAAAATACTTTTGTGGTTTTCTTTTATAAGGTTTTTCTCTATTTTATGCTTTGTTTATTGTTTTAATGTAATAATTTTCTACTAGTTCTACTTCAAATAAAACAAAGGGACTTCCGGGTATAACAAACGCTGAGTGGTGTCCACATACATCTATTATTATCTATGTTATTGTTTGTTTGGATTAAATCATTGGAATTGATTTGATTTATTTATTGACTATTTATAGCACACCAAAAAAAAGAAAAAAGAAATATAAAAGAGGGAAGTTTTAAGTACTAACTTTTAAATAAGAGGCGGCCTTATATATATATATATATATATTCTGGTGGGCTCATTGGTTTGATGATAAATCCAATCCATCCAATTTATATGTTGGCTGTATTGACATGTTTACCACCTTTTCATTATCACGCCGGTGATACTCCGTCCACAGATGGCTATGATCAGAATCGAATCAGATTTTCTGATTCGATTCTGTTCATCTGATCCGTAGATTACCAGAACCAAAATAGGACGAAATCGCATCGTAATTAGTAAGAGGGCATCCATAAGCAGCCCTTATATATAAATTAGGTTATACATAAACGCCGCGAAGGATAAATGACCACAAAATGATCTCAATTCTATCATTGATCATAGTTGAGTCTTGTTTCACGTGAAGTTTGTAATGGTGACTTAAACTGAAACAAATTGTATTCAAAGCAATTGTTTAAAAGATAATATGTGTTTACGTAAGTCATTTGTTTTTCTATACATACATAATGTCTAGTAGTTCTATGTAGTTTTAATAACATTTTGTCATTGTATTTTGTAAGTTTCAAGATTAAGCTGATTTCCTTGTTATTTGGGCAGGCAAGAAAAAAAATTGTGGTCCGAATATTTGCGTTATGCTTAGTCTAATGGTAGCCATGTATTATTAATCGACGGGATGTCGGTTGGCCCTCGTTTAGAAATCTGGATATTAAACGGGTGATAGGAATATCGAAATTCCATCTGGGTGACAAACCACGGTTTCAGTCTGTGGATTTTCGAATATCCAAAGCCTAAATAGGTCGTCTTAAATTCGTTAAATCTTGTTTAGATGCTATAAGCTGGGGTATTTCAACTGGGTGGTACCGCTGTCTGTCCTTCTCTATCATTGAAAAAAATCCAGAGTATTAACGTCAGTAATTCGTAAAATAGCGACATCCGCCCTTACAGTGGAGCATTGTGTAGCCTAAATTTTCTAGCATTAAACAGAGGTAAACAGAGGCTTATTGAAAAATGCATTTAAATAAAACACTTTAACGGTTTAAAACGCGATATATTAGTTAATCTTATTTGAAAAATGATTTTTAACTTCGGCCCGAGTTTCGGATGCTTTGCCAGCACTCGTGTTCACGGGGAGACTAATAAGTTGAACTAATATATCGCGTTTTAAACCGTTAAAGTGTTTTATTTAAATGTGTACTAGTCGCGTAAACTATAGACAGTATTTGAAAAATACATTGCAATGCAAGAGAACGGATGCAGACCCTACCTGCTTGTGTTTGCCCCAATTTGGATAATAAATTGAATGAAAACAACGGAAGCATGGTTTTGCCACACTATTTTTAACTATTTATACAATTAACAAAAAGGTATAGTGGTTTATCGACTGCAGACTTCGAGGTCCTGGGTTCGAATCGCGGGTCAAACCAGACGGAATTTCGATACTCTTTCCACCCATTTGATATCCAGTTTAAGTCTAATATATTTCATAAAAACAATAATTAGAATCATGTTGAATCCAGTGGGGATCGAATCCACATCCCGTTGATTTTATAGTTTGCTCGCGTTAGACCAACGATCCCCTCAAACGTAAATATTTATATACCTCTCAGCCAGCACAAATTAGCACATATACAACAAATATAAATAACCATATCTGTACTCGCTAACGTCGCTATAAATATTTTCATTTGAACGGATGACGCAACTGTCATACCGAGTATTGTTTGCTCATTATATTGACAAGTCGACAACACAAAGTTTGAAGGCACGACATTGAAGCCGGTCAAGTTCAAGTTGCCATGCCAAAATTTTGTTAATGAGTTTAAGACAATTGTATCTGATTGTTAGTGTTGTGTTACCGTCTGATTGAAGGACATCTTTGCAATGCTGCAAGATGATTAGTAACAAGATGAGGTTCAAAGACTACTTGGTGAGTTTTATCGAGTTCTTCTCTTTAGTTCTACGCCTTTGATTTAAGAACGTAAATGTGAATTTCGACTAGTTTTAACGGAATAGTTTAAATTATTAATAAGTATATTTTTTGTTAAAGTGTATATATACATGAATTAATAATATATATATACTAAAAATATTTTGTATATAATCTAACTAATATATTTCGCGTTTCAAACAGATAAAATTTGTTTATTTAATCTTAATTATTAGGGATGACTTTCATAAATATCGCGTTTTAAACCGTTAAAGTGTTTTATATGAATAATTGATACATCGAATTGTTTTATGTGCATTGTAAATCTTCAATTAGGCACAATTACACGCCAATTCCATAATTATTCGTATGTGGGTTCTTGACAATTGGCACTGAACGCACGTTGCAGCAAGAGATGCAATTCTCGATGGTGAATAAGAATCTTTACGCCAATCATCGATTAGACTCAATTAAGACGAGTCGAGAGAAAACTTTGTCCGAATGTAATGCCCAATAGAAAACACTTTTGAGAGTATATAAATACTCTATGTTTAAAAAAATACTGTACGTTAATTTGTTTCAAGGCGTGACATTTTTTTTTATGATAGAGGTGGATAGACGAGCGTCGGGTTCACTTGATCAAGATGCGCTGCTGGCCTATTTTAATACTTATTCATTCTAAATGCGACGAAATATGTATTACGGTTTTTCTGCGGACAGTGGCTTGCGACAAGGACATAATTTCGATATTACCACCTTATGTCAAAAGAATGGAAACATTTATTAAAATATAATATTAACCGGCTCTGTAGCTAAATCCGTGATTCCTAATATTGCGTTAAGCGCGAGAGGTCCTGAGTTCGAATCCCGGGGAAACAATACATCGTTGATAATGCAAGGCACAGATGTCTGATCGACTACTTGCCTGTAAGTAAAATCAATCAATGAAACGGACACATATCGCCCACAACATTATTCCATTGATATTTAGTATTAAAAAATTTGCAGGTAAATGTTGTGATTCTTATAAATTAATAATATTATTAGCCTTGTTGATATTCTATTCAGACTTCCGATGCTTCTGTTGCATTATATGTTAAAACAACAGACGATTGATGCGGCGGTTAAATCCAAAGGAAATTACATCAGGAAGAGTTCAAACCCACTGACCCAAACGAAAATAGAAACATGTTTGACCGAATTGGCGAGTACTTCGCGATCTTTAAGCGCTCTCAATATTACTATTTACTACTAGAAGATCTTACCAGCTTTAAGCCGTTTCGGCTTTGAAAACAGACCGATTTCTGTGCTGCTGCAAAGCATCCGAAACGTCGGGCCGAAGTTAAAAATCATTTTCAAATAAGTTTAACTAATATATCGCGTTTTAAACCGTTAAAGTGTTTTATTTAAAAGAATTATGTTAACAATTTTCGGTCGCTGTGCTCTTGTAGATTAACATTTCAAGACTATGAAAATATAAATAAGTTAAGTCATAAAATTGCGGTTAGGCTACTCTGGCTCTAGCACTCAGATCTCTTTACATATGGAATACAAAGAATTCTAGATGACGCACGTGAAACCTTTCAAGCAACAATATTGCCATACCATGATACATGATACTGCCATACCATATTCGTTGTATAAGAAAAATCTTGTTTATTCAAAAGATGTCCATCTCGAAAAGGAAACGTCAATAAACTATGAGCTTCCGCTTTCTAATCCATTGTTAAGCTAGGGATGGACTCGACTGACTCGGTTTTGTCGAATTTTGACAGCTATTAAGTCTGTAATTTATGCGAATAGTACGTATAAAAAAATAACGGTTAAAGATACATATATTAGTTTATTTTTAACTTTCACGTTTTAACAACGCCGACGAACTCCCAAATACAAACAGACGGCGCTAGCAATTTTTACTATGACATTAGACACCCTCCATTTTCAGCCCCCCCTCCCCCCCCCGTGACAAATCTGCGAAGTACCCAACGTGGGACGTAGTTAGTTAAAAATTGGTTGACAACACACCTATATTACGCGTTTTAAACTGTGAAGTGTTTTAAACTTGTACATTGTCGAAATTCCGTGCGAAAGGTTTACTATCTTAATGAAATACTTATATTACTATCTTAAGTTAC